TGTCACGATCATAATTATTATCGTCATCACCGCGCGGTGATATATATATATATATATATATATACTTCTTCCTTTGAAAAAATAATTTCCAATTGTTTATTTTTCATTGAACAGTTTTTAAATCTAGTAGGATGCATGTGTTCCGCTTAATAATAGACGAAATTTCTATATGATTATTTTGAATAAACATAAGCATCAGTAATTTATCACAAAGTTGATAAACGAACTTTGACTTGATATTTACAAGTCAACTGGTTGAAAATAATAAGCATCATTAATCTTTGGTAATCTATTCAAACAAAAAGTAAAAGAGTTGAAGACAACAAAAATAGGATATTTGATCGAATTGCATTATTATGATCAGAAAATGATTTTGGATGCACAATATTTTGAAAAAATGTCTCTTCCTAATTCCATACATCTAGTCAGTGAAGCGATGACTGATGTAGATCACATTATATATCATAAATCGATTAAATTTGGTCAGTCAGCTAGAACGTAGGACCAGGCACGTATATGCATCGGTCCAAGTTGCCATACCGCATTAGTACAACAAGATGAACACCGGATTCATAAAATTAGTTAATTCAGTGGTGGTAATATATAGAAGAAAGATTGCATATAAGGAGATATTACAGGAAGAAAGAATTAGTTCGTAGAAAGAAAGATATGAAGTGATTTTAATATCTTAATTTAAGGAAGACAGAGAGTGTATACAACGACGCCATTGTGATCGATTCTGAGCCATGTCACCAAGAGTCTCCGAGCATTGGTTACGATAGTCACACGGACCTCAACCAAGTAGTCTGCATTTACCAACATGGCTCAGATCAGAAGTTAGTGGCTTCAATGACTGATGCCACGTTTTAATTTGTCGCACCCAACTTACAACCGTTCTCAACACTAGTCAGCATTGAAGATGACAGTTCGCCATGAGCTCTGACTCGACGAGTAGTGTTCGAGTAAAGAGCCTTCACGAGGTTTATGTACTTCTGAGGTACGCCTTTCAATGACAGACACTGACACAGAACCTCTCGATCAACAGAGTCAAAAGCTGCTTTTAAGTCAAGAAAGACCACCATTGTCGGACGCCGATAAGTATGCCTGTGTTCTAGGACCTGAAGAATGGTGAATATGTGGTCGATGCAGCCACGACCAGGTCTGAAGCCAGCCTGATTTTCACGTGTTTGCAGTTCACGAGTCTTAGTTAGGCGTCCGATAATTATCGAGGCTAGTATTTTAGATACTATATTAGTCAAACTAATCCCTCTATGGTTGTCACTGGATGATTTTGACCCTGTCTTATATATTGGGACGATAAGTGATTGCGACCAGTCAGATGGGATAACGTTCAACTCCCAGATTTTAGCTAAAATATTAGTCAACCTAATCGCTAAAACTAGACCACCATCCTCAAAGACCTCTGGAGCCAATCCATCTGGACCAGCTGCCCTTCCTCGTTTCAAATTGACTATGGCCTTTTGATCTTCGACTGACATCAGATGGAATAAATTATTGATAACTAGAAACCAATGAGAATTCTTAATCTGTATGTACACTCGGGTTAACAATATGGAACTGTGAGTAACGTGTGCATTACGAAGATGATGAACAATCGGAATGCAATGAAGAAAAAACAGTCTATTACAATCGATAGTTAAGGAGAAATTTACGTAATAACACTGGAAAAAACTCATCCTGTTTAACAGTAAAGTGAAAAAGAAAAATTAATATGTTTGTTTTTGCAACTAGTCATTGTATTTGATCCTATGCATATCTTGTTGTTAAAACTAAACATATATTTCAAAGTAGAATATAGAGCAACAGTGGACAGATTTAAGTTGCCCAAATTAGCACATCATGAAAAGGGAAAATTAACGGAAACGGAAAGAGAATAAAATAAATAAATAATAATAATAGAAATGTAAGATAACTGGGGATCATAGTTTAGAAGATGAAAGTGTCTGAATGAACTTGTATCGTTGTGGCCAATTTTGAGTCATATCATTAATGGCTTATATGATATTCTCTTACCGTCTGAAGGAACTCACCTAGAAAGTTCTTACCACAGACGGTAATCTATATTAACAGTCAGTGGAATTTTTTGGTACCAAGTATCACTGTAGCTTTGTATAACAGAACAAGTGTGGGGATAATCGAATGTATTTGACACAAAGTACAGGACTTGTTAATAAAATCTAACAATCATAAAATGCTTAATTTGCAAAATGCCCATCAATTGTCTCAAAATGACTCAGACTTCATTGTTCTTGCATTTTCATACAAATTGCATTCCGTTTCTATTCTTTACTATACAATCCTCTTGTCTCTCTGCTGCCAGACATTCTGTTCACGACTAACACTATATACTACTTATGCCTATATAAGTAGCACACACCACAGCGTCTTTAAGACTTATGTCCATCAGAGGATCTCTTAGCAGGAGACCAATATGAAAAATGAAGGAACTAGAATAATCTCCATCATTGGTATTTACGACGATATCGGATGGGAATGACAGTATGATTTGAGGGGAGAGGACACCGTATGCTATCACAATTTTAAATGACAACCCAAGACTGTGAGTTGGAATATTTTTTTATAGAATTTTCTTCAAGTCAGATGCTACTATGAGATTGTCTAACTGATATCACCCAATTATGTTTAGAAGTCAGTAAAATGATGACTGCATTTTAGGACATGAAGATCCAGTTAATACTTCTTGATGCATACTTAAAACTAGCATCGAACATAGACCTAATAGTGTTGATGAAAAATAAGTGAGATTGAATGAAATCAATGTTTATTGGTATTTATAGGAAAAGGGAAACATTGATTTTTGAAATGAACGTAAAACTGACTATGACTGGTTCACGTAAGTTATGTAACAAACAACACAAAGCACACAACGAGTACAATAAATCATTCTTATCAATATAAGAGCAATGCAGCCACAGATACGGCTATGTAAAATACAGCACAATACGTTTACTGGATGCTAGAAATCAAATATAGAACATATGCTTCGACATTTGCACCACTGTATATCAAACAAAAACAAGGCTATATATATAACCGAAAAAGTTTATGATAAATACCTTTGTTCTTGCAGCTTAACTCTTCTTCTCGACTTTTGGTAACACTTAGTCGAGATGATAACATTTTAAAAATTTACATGTGTAGACCCTTAAACAACTATACGGTTGACAAAGTATCTAGACCGATAAATACCATCACATTAATAAAACAGTTTATATAAAAGCAACAAAAACGTCAATAAGTGTGTAAAAAGAAAAAATGCAACTTTCGACATTTTGAGTAGAAACAGGTGAATAGAAGGGAATCACTCCGAAATTCGGGATTATATCGAACCAGTTCATTTTTTGATTAACTCTAGGAATTAAATATAGCTTTCTACAATATTGAGACTAATTGCATCTCTTAACACTGCTCCACTACCTTGTGGATTAGACATTTAGGTCAAAGGCACGGAGAGTGGCTCTCAAAGAAAACAACCTGTTTCGGTGTAGGCGCATGGCCAGTATTCTAGCACTCGCACAAATTGAATGATGAAGTGCATATATTTGGTACCTCCTTGTACCAATATTTATTTGTTTAAATAAAGAAATAAATAAAACAGAAGAGAACGGTATTTTTGTGGTAGACGTATGTGTAGATAGAAAATTAATCCTAAGCAAGAGCTGCCTCAAGAAGGAAAGATTGAGACGCAGTAGCAATCACAGAAATACATATTGTTACGGAACTACTATACACTTTAACATTGAAGTTAAAGTCAATTAAGCACCCTAAAGACGGTATAAATGCTATTTTTACTTCCCAGTTAATTAAAATCAGATGTTTAGTGAGCCAACAGAACTCTTGTCAAGATCCACCAATGTATGAACTTGTAAATAAACTTAACCTTTACGAAAATCTAGTCGGTATAAGTCAGAAGTAAGGTCAGGCAATCAGCTACAACGTTAGACCAGGCATATATTCAGAAGTAAGGAGTTTGCGATAGTAAAATTAGGTTATATATTCTACAGTGAGAAAATGAGATACATGAAAATTAAATTATCCCTTTTCAAATAATGAGTAAAAGGAAAATCCTATTCAAAATCTCTAGAGTATGATGTAAAATTTAAAAAGGAAGCCAGTGGTGCTAATAATGATAACAATACTTTGAGCAATTTAGAGGAAAGTGCATACTGAGCCAAAGTTGTTTGTAGCAATAACTTAAGATGCAGTACTGTGTACGGCTAATAAAATGACACGGAAAGCCAGACTATCGAAAATAGCTTAAAATGCATTTTCATGCAAACTTCCTTTTTCCTTGAATATGAACATTGTTATACATAAAAATAATGGAAACCAATAGCCTCAAACCAAAGAAAAGGTTAGTAGCTTTAAACACTAAAATGAACAAGGAACTCAATCCTATAAAACCAAAAGATTTCTAGATCTTGGAAGTATATCATCTAGTGATACCACGACTATAAAAAAAAAAACATCTTATTTAGAAAATGAACAAGATTGACAGTATCATTTACAATATGCCTGGAATCTTGTACATACTATCATCTAATAAAGTGAATAATCTGCATTGGCCTTTGATAAATATAGTCTTGGAAATAACTAGATTTTATTACTTTTGACACGGTCAATTGTCAAGCTTATCATAAACAAGTTCATATCTTATAGGAGCAGGTGTACTATGCTTGTGTGCCTGAATTCTTTCCAGTCGTCGATATAGAGTAATTAAAATAAATCCTTTTCTATTGAATGCTAAACCCATTACAAACATGCAAATTTTACAAGTTTAACTTAGAACACTGGCTACTTCTTACTCTGTTATAGTTGAAGTAACATTTCATATACGTTGGCCTATTATTAATCCAAACGAATTAGTGATATTCATCAAGAAAAGGTCTTACAAAAAGAAAACAAACAAACGACATCAAATGGATATTGAATATCTGGATACTAAATAGGACACCTACCATGTTTCATATATTCAGTGATAATCATAATTGGACGCTTTTTCAATACAACACCAAATAACTGTACAAGATTTGGATGATTAAGGAATCTAGAAATGGAACAGAGGATAATATAAATGCATGAACAATGTATGAATTTGCATACCTTGTTCATATTTTCGACGCATAGTAATACTAATAATCATGAGAAAAAATTGATTTCATAACATTCACTACCATAAGCAAATTCACGTGTATTATTCATGAGTATAGTGGGTCAGTGTTTCCCTTAGATCAAAGTAAGATGAGTGTTTTGAAAGATGGGGAATAAATTGATGTGTACACTACAGAAAATTCCATGAATTTGGAAAGAAATATGAGAGAATAGAATATTGCAGGGTACAATTTTCGTGTTAAATCATGCTTTATTATGATTGTACGAAAGTTTACCTTTCTCTTCAATTAAAAGAAAAGAAAAATAGTACGACACGCTGCATACTTATGTGGTTATATATTCCCAAAAATAAAATGAAACTTTGAAAACAATTTGAACAACAGACAGTATTTATGATATAATAAATGGTCATTACCACATATAACAGAGTAACAAACATATATACTGGATGTCATTTATTAATGTGACAAAACATTACAGCAGTCACAATCTCTCTCTCTCTGGCAATCATGACTAAACGTGAAAAAGTAAGTAGTCATGGATAAACAAAAAATTGAACCAGTAGATTTTAGATTAACAATACGATCTGGTTTTTGACTCACTTCATTAAAACTATCCAGCATTTTTTTCTTATTTGTTTTGCATAAAAAAAAATAAAATTTCTTCAAACTTTATTAATACGAAGATTCATTCAGATTTGTTTAGAATAACTAAAGGTACCTGAAAATCTGTCTCAATCTAGTAATCGAACCATGAACCTTCAACATACATGTGCAGTCAGTTTTTCACTTGTTAATTTGATAAATATGGTGTAACAAATTATCTCATCACAACAAATGTGTAAACATTTGTGAATTAATTAGTGATCTACAACTAGCACATGAGGTCAAGGGTATTACTATGGAGTTACAGTATCAACGACAATCCTAAAGAATTGATCTACTACATGTACTAAAAATAAAGCATATTACTATCTCATTTTGTATATACACCTAAGCCCAACTGGTGGTATAGCAATAACATGAAAGTGTACTAATCTATCATCCATCATACATAAAATTCAGTCATATTTATGCAAAAAAACGTAACCCTTTTACCAAGTATGGATTTGTGCATTCAGTGTTCAGCTACATTACAAGTGTAAAGGATAGTAATACATGGCTACCGAAAACAAAAGTAGATGAAATGGTATTCAAATTTGATACACAAGGTTGAAAGATGAAGGCGTTAATAACTGAGTTTCCTTTCTATTATTGTTCAGAAAGCAGTCAAAAGAATAAAAGCTGACTTCGATATCAGTCGAATGAAAATTCATAATACATCCTGACTGTTCTCATTACAAATATTTTATTCCTTTAAAGATGGATAAAATTCAGACAAGGTTCACCTGCTCTTGTGGAGCAAGGTACATTGGCTGTAGCCAGCGCTCGCTTTCAACTCGGATACGGGAACATATTCCAGCTTGGTTCTATAAGGGTGAAAGGAAAGCAGTTAGGAGTTCTATACTCGAACACCTTATCGACTGTAACCATTCTACAGATCCACAAATTGATTTTAAGGTTGTTTATATGATTCGTCCAAATCTACCTAGATTTCTTCGTATCCAACTTTTAAAAATAGCCGAAGCTCTTACCATTCAGGAGCTTAAACCAGAACTATGCGTACAAAAGAAGTACGTCTTATCGTTATCGTTACATTGGCCTTAATTATTTTGATTATTCTATTATTATTATTATTATAATTATTATTAGTGTTGCATTCCCCCTTTACTTATGTCTTATATTCTCATTGTTTTTATTCGTAAATACTCATCATATTACCTTATTTATTTATTGTCCACACCTCTATGACCTTTAAGTATTATAACAAAAACATTTTAATCATCTTATTATATTCACTAAATCTATTGTTATTATTTGTATTATGTAATCTAGTATTATAACCTTTTTATTATGTCATGGTTAACTGTGTTCACATTTCCTCACGGAATTAGTACTTTTACAAAATTTTCATATATATACGATTGTACAGCTTGATAATAAATTCGTTGAAAAGAGATCCCTTCACTGAACTTCGTGTTTTAATTTAACCAAATACATATTTACATAATTCGCTACGAGTAAGAGGCTTGTAATAACAACCATCAGTTTAAACGAATTGTGGTTGAGCAAGATTCACAGTGAAACCTAGTGATTGAAAACCAAGTTAAGCAACAAAACATCTGTTTATAGAGGTTTTTAATATGACACAATGGTACTATCTGATCATCTGGAACATAAATATAAAAGCAGTCACTAAACAATATCAATGTCTTTTTGAAGAAAAAATATGTTATATTTCCACTTGACTTTAATATAATCTACCTGGGTATTGGTACACCTCGAAGGAACTTTTTTATTGTTTAAAGTGTAAAATGAACTGGAACTGTGTAAGATCGAAAATAACTTGGTTAAAAAGATATGTACACGTCATTGTGGCCAAAAAAGCAGTTTTGTTTTTAGAAATCACATATTATGATTAAGCAATTCTAACATCACGATATCCTATGGTGAACAAAATTGGAAATTTAAACGTACGTCCGATTTGACATTTGCCAGTAAACCAAACTACGAATGCAAATAAATCAATTTACTTATCCCCAGCATTAAACCATCTTTATTGATTACCAATTATTTCAGTTGCAAACTCCAATAAAGTTATATTAAGTATGCCCCCCAATGCCCTGGTACAGTCGATGTTAGGGAGAGTTGGAGGACGGAAAGCGAGTGTCTCGCGCTTCAACCGAGTTGATGGATATGGAGGATCCACTTAGGGGAGTTGGAAAACCCTGATTCCAAATCAATGGTGTACATGGGTCCTGAGGGAACAAATGGTGTATGAGCCAATTATTGGTCACTGGCAACCATGAGACTGCATTTTCTGACGTCGCTACACTGACGTGTGGATTAGCCCTTCAGATAAGTCTCGGGATGTGGCCTCCTAATAAAACCACCTGCTTCGGTTTGCGTACTCGGGCAGCATCACAGCCGTCACACAAATCAATGATAACAGCTACTGACCTCATTGTGTGACGCACATGTATTTAGTTCTCCCTTGTACCAATGTTTATGTGTTCAAACAAAAAAATATGCATGTAAATGTAAATGATCCTTTATTTATCTCGAATTGTTGAATTAATTAATGTGATATTAACACATAAAGAAATGTGTTTGTCTCATTTCACAAAAAAATATAATTCCATGGAGTGTTGATTGAATGATCCGATACTAAGGGTTATATGTGTAAACTTAATATAAAATTAGAATTATACATCAAGTGAGTAAGTAATCTGGTATCATAAAATATTTGTATATTTTGCTTTATTTGATGAGTAAGGTTATGTAATCATCTATTATCTCTAATAATTTATCTGTTATAGGAGATTGTGCGATTATATGAAGGCTTTTGTGTATTTTATTATATTATTATTTAACTCAAAATATTTGATTAAAAAACATAGCTACGATGATTGACCTTATAAGATCATTTACACGGAATAACTTAGAAAAGACTAGAAATCACCGCGTCATAATTCTACTTCAAAACTATAATTTTAAAAAACCGGTCGTCTGTTATCAAAATTGGATACAAAGTGAAGCCGGTCAAAGACAAATCACCTCATATTTTTAGCCTCTTCAATAAAATCATCTTCATTCATAGCCCCTTCGACCATTTGTTTTACAGCTACCGGAATGTTACGGAACTTGCCACGTTTCACAACCTAAACATCACAAGAAAAAGAATATGTGTACAGCTCTAGTGGTAAAAAGAAAATAGTAGCAAATAAATTTATAGAAAACTATAGAAAACAACTTTTTGTTGATTACTTAGTGATCATGCAAATGTAGAATTTCATAAAAAACTGGCATGATACATTAGAACGTTTTTAATACTTCAACAGAAATTAACAGGACTGTCGTAAAATAAATGTGTCAAGAATTCCACTTGTTTACTAATCGCCTGAAGCTGACTGGGTACATATTTCAGTATAGATCAATAAGACTTTTATTCTGTATATAAAAATCACATGCAAATAAACCATTTGTAAAGGATTGTAATATCCCGTTTATTATTGAGATAATTAATGTTTCATACACAAAATTCGCTTTATCATCAAGAACAAACATTCTAACAGAATAACATGAATTCATTTTATTCTTTTTAGTTCTCGTCAGTTACTAAAAACCTGTGATATTTAAAATCATGGGTGCAAAATGGATTTAAACTACTTACATGAAATAGTTATTTTGGAAGTTATTTTGAAGGCACATCGGCATAGTATAGCAAAGGTGTAAATAAATTTAATAGACTGAATAAAATATTGTTAAAATATACCTTATGTAAAAGAACATTCTAAAACACTGATTATAACAAAGGTCCATAGGACTAGAAAGAAACGGTTACGTAATAAGCAAACGCTAATAATAAACAAGATTAGTAACTCAGTTAATTCAAATAAGATTACTAATGTATCAGAGGGTCGAAATAAATGACATAATGCTGTAGACAGGTGAAGCAAATAGTTGAAAAAAGAAAGATGCGACGAAGGAATATTTATTACCAAAGCAAGAAAAGATTAATAACCATCTCTTTTTGCACACATAAATCACGTTTCTGAGGCCCAATAGCAACGTCTTCAGCAAACTGTAAAAGATTGGAGCTTGACTGTTTAATAATCACCTTGAAACGTTGGAAGGTATTGTTAGGTTGAAGCTATCACTAGTTCACTTAAATCTGCGAACGAGATTCGGTGACCAAGGACCAGTAAGCTAACTATTGCCTGACTGTTGTTGCTACCTTGACGTGGTGGTCGGGCTTGCCTATCGTGATGAAGCAACTGAGCTATACTGGCTGAAACAACCGTTCCTCAAGGTCCTACCACAGGTGTAGGCATAGCACTAAGCATGAGGGCGGAACAAGCGCTATTAGAGTGGATCCCGTTAACAGTCGTCTATGCGCTGTTCGGCTAAACGGCTCCGTAAGAACTCGAAAGGACAGAGACACACGTCGTTGCCTTTTAGTCGTTTCTGCCTACGCTCCCACTGACTGCAGTTCGGATGAAGTGAAAGATGAATTTTACAGAAAGCTGTCTGAACTTCTTCAGAAAGCTAAACGTTCAGACATAGTACTCGTAGCAGGCGACTTTAATGCACAGGTAGGTAGCTTAAACGAAACGGAAAGACATTTAGGTGGGTATTTTAGTATTCCGGCACAGAGAACAGATAATGGTGATCGTCTGCTGCAACTGTGCTAAGACAATCGATTATTTTAGCAAACACAAATTTTAAGCATAAGGAGAGACATCGTCTAACATGGCGACCCCCTGCACCAAACCAACGATGGACTCAAATAGACCATATTGCCATCAGTCATCGTTGGAGAGGGTCAATAGAAGATTGTCGCTCATTCTGGGGTACCTGCTTGGACTCTGATCATGCCCTAGTACGAGCACGCATCTGCTTGCGCCTCACTGGACGCAAAAGAGCCACACAAAAAAGACTCATTAGAACCGAATTGAGTAATGAGAAAACCAAAAGTAGGTTCCAGGAACAACTGAGGTCACACTTAGGTAGTTCTGAAAACGAGACTGACCCAGATGTTGCTTGGAAAGTTATACAAGCAGCTGTGGAAACAGCATTGACATCTACCAGTGAGTTAAACCACAGGGTTACAAAGAACCAATGGATTTCGTCAAGGTCTATTGCACTGATAGATTCTCGCAAACACATCCCATCAGGTTTTGAATACGATGAAGAGCGTAAAGAAATCAAATCTAGGTTAAGCAAAAGTCTAAGGAATGATCGTGAGCAGTGGTGGGCAACGAAAGCAAAAGAGATGGAAAAGGCGGCGGCCATAGGTAACACAAGACAACTCTACAGACTGATAAAAGAAACTGGAATTAATAAATCAAGTGTAAGTCAGACTATTTCGGAAAAAGACGACAATCTCATCTGCTCCCAGTTCAGACGTTTAGAACTATGAGCGGAACATTTTGGAGAACAGTTCAGATGATCTTCAGCTACTCCCCCAACTCTAGTCGAAGATCAAAAGGCCATAGTCAATTTGAAACGAGGAAGGGCAGCTGGTCCAGATGGATTGGCTCCAGAGGTATTTGAGGATGGTGGTCTAGTTTTAGCGATTAGGTTGACCAATATTTTAGCTAAAATCTGGGAGATAGACGTTATCTCATACATTATGTCATACTTAGTAACTCAAATCGTTTGCACTAGCGGTGCGAGGTTATCGGCGTCCGACAATGGTAGTCTTCCTTGACTTAAAAGCAGCGTTTGACTCTGTTGATCGATAGGTTCTGTGTCAGTGTCTGTCATTGAAAGGCGTACCTCAGAAGTACATAAACCTTGTGAAAGCTCTTTACTCAAACACTACTCGTCGAGTCAGAGCTTATGGAGAACTGTCATCTGCTTTTGCAACCTCAAGTGGCGTCCGCCAAGACTGTCGACTTTCTCCATTTTTGTTTAACTTCATCATAGATATACTGATGGAAATAACGCTCTCGTCGACTGAATTCTCGGGTATTGATCTCCTACCAGGAGGTCCACTTATTGACTTAGAATACGCAGATAACATAGTCGTGTTTGGTGAAGACGCTGATGAAATGCAGAGTCTTCTAGTAGCACTGAGCGACAATGCTAGAATGTTTGGGATGCGCTTCTCTCCCTCTAAATGCAAGTTGTTACTTTAGGACTGGTCTGCGTCAACACCTGAACTAAGGATAGGGAGTGAAGTAGTCGAACGCGTTGACCGCTTCACTTATATTGGAAGTCTGATCAGCCCTAATGGGTTGGTGTCTTTATTTATTTATTTATTTGAACACATAAATATTGGTACAAGGGGGGCACCAAATATATATGCGCCACACAAAACAATGATAATTTGAAGAGAAGGAGAAAAAAAAAGTAATGAACGTGGGGAATTATAAAAAGAAAAGAGAGAGAGAGAACAATGGTGGGGGAAACGGAAAGGTACAATCAGAAGAGATCTTTCAGTTAAGGAAGGAGCAACCACTTTTTATGAAGAAAGTAAAAGAAGGTTACAGCACGATCGCCACTGGCTTCTATTCTGAGCCATATCTGATAACGTCTCTAGCCACTGCGTTACACCATCTCAAGGACCCCAACCAGGGAGTCGTGAAGGACCAACAGAAGCTAGCCTTTTTGCAGCTTTCTTTCATACCACGACACCATGTCATATACTGACCACCTCTCCGCTTTTTCCAACCAGTCCCAGAGTCGGCAAATAATGCACGACGTGGAATTCTCTGGGACGACATTCGTAGAACATGTCCAAGCCACCGAAGTCGGTGTTTCAAGATGGTGACACCAATTTCATTATCGTCTCTGTGACCGAACACACGATGCCGAACCTCTGCATTACTGACATGGTGTTGCCACTGGATGCCAGCAGTCCTTCGGAGACAACGATGATCGAACATAGAGAGTCGCCTATGTCTGACGAAATCTCAACACGGATTCGATAAGCTCGTTTGGCTTTTGCCACCTTACATCATCTATGGCGAAAGCGAGATTTCCGTCTATCAATTAAGGGACGAGTATACTGCGCGGCAGTTCGTTCCGTCCTTCTATACGGCTGCGAAACATGGCCTTTAAGAGTGGAAGATATTCGTAAGTTACTGGTATTTGATCACAGGTGCCTTAGAAACATTGCGGGTATCTGCTGGGATCACCGGGTAAGTAATAGTGAGGTTAAACGTAGGGTATTAGGGAATGATGGTAAATCAGTTGATGAGGTTATGAATCTTCATCGACTGAGATGGTTGGGCCACGTGTTGTGTATGCCTGAACACCGATTACCACGACGCGCAATGCTGACTAGTGCAGGGGATAATTGGAAGAAACTTAAGGGCGGCCAAACCAACACGTGGCATCAGACATTGAAGTCACTAACTTCTGGTCTGAGTCATGTTGGAAGATTCAGACTGCCTGGTTGGGGTCCGCGTGACTATCGTAAACAATGCTCGGAGACTCTTGGTGACATGGCTCAGAATCGATCACAATGGCGTCGTTGTATACACTCTCTGTCTTCCTTAAATTAAGATATTAAAATCACTTCATATCTTTCTTTCTACGAACTAATTCTTTCTTCCTGTAATATCTCCTTATATGCAATCTTTCTTCTATATATTACCACCACTGAATTAACTAATTTTATGAATCCGGTGTTCATCTTGTTGTACTAATGCGGTATGGCAACTTGGACCGATGCATATACGTGCCTGGTCCTACGTTCTAGCTGACTGACCAAATTTAATCGATTTATGATATATAATGTGATCTACATCAGTCATCGCTTCACTGACTAGATGTATGGAATTAGGAAGAGACATTTTTTCAAAATATTGTGCATCCAAAATCATTTTCTGATCATAATAATGCAATTCGATCAAATATCCTATTTTTGTTGTCTTCAACTCTTTTACTTTTTGTTTGAATAGATTACCAAAGATTTTCCGACGTATCCGGAAACTGATGTGAGATAACAGCGCCTAGACCATACACTGAAGCGTGTGCAGCTACGATGATTGGCACGGATGGATCGTAGTGTGTCAACAGCAATTCCGAACAAATAATGGACTTCAATTTACAAAATGCCGCATCACACTGTTTAGTCCAGTTCCAAGAGCTGTTCTTCTTCAGTAAGCTATTCAGTGGAGCGCGAATATCATGCATCGATGAAACGAGCGCTGAGTAGTAGCTGACAAGTCTCAGGAGGGAACGTAGTGCCGAGACATTGGTGGGAGTGGGCATCAGTTTGATAGCTCGGATATTCTCAGGATCCGGTCTGCGGTCGTCGGCATCGAAAATGAACCCCAAGTACTTTACCGACTTCAAATAAAACTGGCATTTCTCTGGGCGTAACCGGAACCCGTTGTCATTGATGCGTTGCAGTACATATGTCGTGCGTTCTCGTAGCTGTTCTAATGTCGTCGCTACAATTAAAATGTCATCCAGATAAGCCGTGACTCCCGAGATACCTGATAGGATGGTATCCATTAGTTGTTGGAAAATAGAGCCGAAAGGTAGACGGTTATACTGGAACAAACGACGATGGGTATTGATAGTTAGCAGCTCTCTTGATGCTTCATCTACTTTCATTTGCGAATAAGCGTCAGCTAGATCCAGTTTAGCGAAAAACCTTCCCCCATACAGCATGGTAATTAGGTCTGCGGGAAAAGGCAGGGGATAATGATGTTGTTCCAGAGCTGCATTGAGACCTGTCGAAAAGTCAGCACATATACGTATCGTGCCGTTAGCCCTCTTGATAACAACTATAGGTGCTGCCCATGCAGAGTAGGAAACGGGACTGATAACTCCTTGTTGTTGAAGGCGATTCAATTCTTCATTTACTGTTTGCAATGTTGCATAAGGCACAGGTCTCTTTGGGCGAAAAGCAGGCTTAGTCCCAGTTTTCAATCGAAGTGCTGCCTTCATGGCAGAGCAGGGACCGAATCCAGGTTGGAAAATAATTGAAAACTGCGTCATTAAGTTCGTCGTATATGCTTCCAAGTTACGTGGTTGTTGTCGTAGTTGGGGTTGTGATATCAGGTTGCATATGGTATTCAACGGGACATCAGCTAATTTTAATTAATCGAACCAATCTAACCCGAGTAAATTTAGATCAGCTTACGTTATGTAACATACCCCAACAAACTTCGAATCGTGAAAATACACTTTACAATCTAGTTGTCCCAACAAACGTAAATAATTACCGCATGCAGTTTGAGGTTTCTGTGTTGTCGGCGCCGTGCGTGGTCTTCCCATTCTGATCCAATATCTTCGTGAGAGAATTGTTACGTCAGATGCAGTGTCTATTTGCAATCTAAACGGGCGCCCATTAATATTAAGGGTAATAAATTTCCTTTCACTGGGGGTTGAGTTTTGACAGATTGCTATTAGACTCAACAAATTCGTGTTGGATCTGGGCGTAGGCTTTCTGGTACCTCTGGAACTGATCGGCTTCTTTTTTCGACAAAAACCATGTTTATGACCCACCGGATTACATTTCCTGCACCGATGTTGTTTATATGGGCAGTGTCGAACTAAATGCTATGCACCACAGTGCCAGAATGGAGCAGGAGGATTTGTTTTTGTCTATTGACCTGAACTGGATGTCGCTGGGGCAGTTCTATGCGAGTTGGGTGGTTGTTGGACCACATGAACTTCGGTACGATCTGAACCACCACGCTGTAGATTGATTAGGCGTTGATGTTCGTTTGCAATATCATTAAGGGTTAGTTTTGGGTCTTGGTCCAATCGACTTAGCAAACGTGTTCTAATGTCACTGAACTTCTGCGATTAAAGGCTGCAGATGAGAATGAGTGCTTTAAATTGGTCTTCAGTAAGCGACTTCAACCGGAAGCGTTCGCATTCTCGGTTGACGATACCCACGTGTGTAAGAAAATCAGCATCTTCGTTCATAGTGAGATTCCAACATAGATAGCGCGCATTGAATAGTGAGTTGTCTCCGAATTGTTGGCTCAATGACTGAACAGTGTCAAAGAATGAGCGAGGCAGAATTAGGTTGCAATAACTGTCTAGTTCACTAGGACCCAACTTCCGAAGCAGCAAGAGGACCTTCCAATCATCATCCTGGTTAGCAAAGTCAAATTTGAATAAGTCTTCGTACCGTCGAAACCACATATCAAACGTGACATTGGATTCCGGATCGTAATGAAACTCGGAGATACTGTTAGCGATACCATCCACTGACGGTGCGGTAGTAGTAGGATTAGAGCTGCTAGGTTGAATATTAAACGTAAGCTTTGTATCTGCTAACATCTGAATAAGTTTCATCTGCTGCTCGAGTAATAATTCAATTTTAGAAGGATCCATGTTTCTGAAACCACCGTCGCCAATTTGTTAGGTTGAAGCTATTAAAATGGGGAGATGATATGATGGGAAGAAAAGTCAATATTCGGTTGATTTACTCAATATGAGTTTTATTCATCATTACATCCGTTTTGATTCAATGTAATGATTACGCAATATAGTATTTGTTTTCTTTTCTCGTATGATATTTTAATCTGTATAATACACAATATTCTTGTATTTCATTGACTATGAACTATACTCAGCACATGATTTCTTATAACTGTGAGTATTTTTCATGTATGTGATTTCATTCTAATTATTAATCAAAACGGGTGTAAAATCAATATATAAACGAGTATATTTTCGACTAAACTCTCGTTTTCTGGTTGTTGCAGAATATAATTCTCATTTCAAGCTTGGACTTCTCCCTCTAGATAGCTGGGGCTGGGACGCGTCAATAGTTAGCTTACTGGTCATTTGTCACTGAATCTCGTTCTCGTTCGAAGATTTAAGTGAACTAGTGATAGCTTCAATCTAACAGGTATCGACCTGATTTCCTGTATCCAAGAGATATTTGGTAATTGTACAGTTTAAGGTTGTTCTATTTCTTGTTCTGAGGCTTTTTGGAACATGTTCAAAAATTCTAAAATATGCCCTCATTTTTGTCTGACCAACGTAGCTGCTTTGGCAGGTACACGTAAATTTCTAAACACAGTTTACGGTGGCATGAGAGGGGTGTTTTCCAACCTTTGGTTGGATTATTGAACGTGTTGTTTCACACAAAAATTAATGGTTTGGATGCCGGATAATTTTCGGGTAATGAAGTGTTAAGCCTCCTGCTGATTGTGCTTGGGGCGTCATTACATTTGGAGATGGAATTTATAGATATTGATTTTATATTGTCTGTAGTGGTTAATATCCTTTCAACCTCATAAAATTGTGATATGATCAATGCTTTCTTGCAAATGATTGGACAAAAATTAATGAAATTCAGGTCAAGACCATTTCAAGTACTTTTTGATAAACCGAATGTTGAATTGTCCTCTACGTTATATGACAATATCAAGAAAGTGGAACATGTCATTCTTTTCGTGTTCCATAGTAAGTTGTATGTTGAGATGAACATTATTGAAGAGTTCTAACAGGCGGATTGTATGCTGGTTACAGTTGCAGAAAATAAACGTGTCATCAACATATTCGGAGTATTCCGTCGTTGCGCTAATCGTTTGATTAAGCACTGTGTTTTCGAGATACCTCATAAAAATATCTGCCGTAATTGGACCCAATGGACTCTCCTTTGTTAAACCATCAATTTCACTGTATATGGTGTTATTGAACTGCAATTGAACGTCTTTTGAGCACATGAGTAGTTTTTTTGAATTCTATGACTGGTAAAGTTAGGATATTAGAATTCTGACATATTATATCAATAATTTTAAAAAAGTGGTATCCTGGTGAACAAGGATGTTACATCAATGTTGTAGGATGTTCTTTTATATATGGTATATTTTAACAATATCTTATTCAGTCTATTAAATTTATTTACACCTTTGCTATACTATGCCGATGTGCCTTCAAAATAACTTCCAAAATAACTATTTCATGTAAGTAGTTTAAATCCATTTTGCACCCATGATTTTAAATATCACAGGTTTTTAGTAACTGACGAGAACTAAAAAGAATAAAATGAATTTATGCTATTCTGTTGCAATCAATACAACTTACTCCAAATTGTCCTTTTCCAATTGGCTCTCTTTCTAAATGAAGTTCAGCTGGATCAAGTTCAAACTCGTCTAGACCCATCCCAGCAGTGACAGGACTTTCTCGATCTTTGGTCGGTGGCGATCTGAGTCGGACAACTAGTCCACCAGAATTATGCTTATGATAATGTATAACATCACTGATTGTAGGGAACGCATGCTTTTCGGATAAATAATATTGTGCTTCACCATTAGTGGTTGATCCAACTTTGGGGGTATTTGACCCTGTACCAGTTGAACCATTCATGTTTGGAATGGTATTAGATGTTGTTGTTGTTGTTGTTACTGTAACGCTGGTAGCAACAGATGCAGTAGAATTTAAACCACTATTGCTGCCACTACCATTACCGACACCACATCCATTCATGTGTCCATTCAGACATGATGATTCTGTTCTATGGATGTGATAATGATGTACTTTTAATTTTCCTGGCCTGAAATAAAATAAGCGTCAAAAGAAATACACAAGTTTTAATATTTTCGGCAACCGTACAAACAATTTTCAGTAGTAAGCAAATATTCTTCAATCGCAGGTGTTAACTTTCAGAAATACATCATACTTGAATTAGGCAACAAAGGTATTTAAAAATACGAATGAAGGGTGATTGATAGTATTTAGCGAGTACACAGAATTTACTATTTTCGATGTTAAAAAGAGGTATGTGGTTTAAGATATATACGTATAAATATAATCTTAAAACAAAATTTAGGAAGATAAAAGAACTAAATAAAAGACGGAAGGAATGAAATAAAAAGATGAGTCGAAAAAACAAATGCGTGGAGAGAATATACCGAAAAGTCAAAAATTTCTCTCATGTAACCACAATCAATTATAAAATGATAACTTTAGAATAACGATAATAAAAGACTGTTAACGAACCAGCCACAAAGTCGAAGTTATTAGCTAAAGCTAAGTATCACAAATACAAACTGTGCTTCCACCAACTAACACTATCAACCATTTCATTTAAATTAACTTTTTGATTATACTACACAAATTATCAAGACGTATGCGAAACTAAGTTGAATTGGGCGAAATTTCGTCACGTTACTCAGTGTATCAGAGTCATCGCTTAGCAGCTCGATGTATGAACAGTTACAAGAACTGTTTAATACAAATGTTTCTGAAATAGTTACTTACATCTTGAAAGTAATCTAAGACAACTAGTTTGTTGTATTGTCTTAAACACATAGTGAAGTTACTAAATGTAAATTCATTTAAATACTTATCCTATAGCACTAAACTTCCCAAGTCCTTTCTTTAAAATAATAGAATGCTATTCGTGTTGGGTTAGCTTATAGTAACTTGATGGATAGGGTTTCAGAGATAAGTATGTGCATAAGATGAGGACACTACATGTAACTATAAATACATTAATAAAAGGGATTTTAGGCTAATCTAATTTTAACTCCGTACGACTATTTTGTTTTGTAACGTTACCATTATGTATTAATCTTTTTAAAACTTTATAATGATAGATGACCTAAATCAATAAATAGGCACAGGATTGTAGTCTCAATTTACAGTTGGACATGAGAGCGTATACTTGGTAATCGGGTTACACTAAGTTGGCCAATAACGCTAGAAAGAAGCTGATTATTTCGAAACAGAAGACAAAAAGCCTGCAGTTTGATGATAAAATAATTTTATTTAAAACAAACAAGGATGAAACGGCTTCCCAGTGGTACCAATTGATTAGTGTTTCCTCAAGTTAAGTAAATCGATGAAGAAAATCATCTTCATAAATGAAATGACATAAAAGTATGGTTGGTTTTTTATCAAATTTATCCACTATGAAACTTACGCTTCAGGGTCTTTCGAAGTAACTGATAAAGTGTATGTATTCTTTTTGCTAACTGAGTCTCGAACAAGAAAGCAACCTTCGCGATTCTCGTCTAGTAAAATAGCTTCAGCTTGTTGCCTGGTAATATCTTTGTAATACCAACTGAAATACAACGAAGGAAAATGATATTAATGTACTAACATTCCAAATGAATGGCACGAAATGCAATGAAAATAAAGTAGTTTGGTATGACCAGGAAACTAAGAGCCAAAAAGTTTAACTAAAGACTGACAAAATTCCTTACCTGAAAATAAATTTTAAGTAAAACGATAAAAATAGTGTGAACTAGAACTTCGATTTCTTCGTTGATAATATCAAAGGGAAGTTATACAATGGAGTTTTATGTTCCTCTGAATAATCTCCTTCCGTATTTGTTTCAAATTATTTTATCATTATAATTTCCTCGTTAACTAAAGTTCGCTGTTCTGTTTTGGGGAAAAATGGATCTAAACAGTGACAAAGTTATCGCATTCTAAATCTAGTAAATTCGTCAATCTTATAAACAGTGTATACGAAATTTTCTCAACAAACACGAAATGATAGGTAAGAAAATTGCTACAGACAGCTTATTCGGCAAACACTTGACCAAATAATAAAAACTTAAAGTAAAAATACGCAACTGTTACGCCTAGTATGAAAAATATGTTTGGAAGTAAGATACAAGTTTAAATCACTATTTGTATGATCTATTAACCAACACTTGTGAGTTATAAACAATCAGTTTAGTGTGTGGTGAGGATACAGTAGTAGACATTAAACAACTTACCAGGAGTCAAATGCATTCTTTTATAGAGCTCAACAGATAGATTTACAGACGATCAAAGTAAACATTTTCTAGCAAAACTAAGTTACCTCTTTACACGTATGATACTTTCTTCAGAAGTGAATTTGGTAAAAGTTGGTATCAAGAAGGAAATGATTCAACTCTATATGCAATCGAAGGATAAAAAGTTTAGCATAATCGTCAGATGATCAACTGAATTTGTGTTATAATATTTTGTATTTCTTCAATGTTTTTGGAGGGATATTTCGATAAGGATTTGTGAAAGAAGTTATAAAATGCTATGATTAAATACTTCGAGTTTGTACCGAGGAAACCGACGATAGTGCTGTAACGAACATGTTCGAAAACTCGACTTTCCACTAAAACGATAACGATTTCAATGGGGCTCTACGTATCAAAGTTCATACAACCACGTAATATTATCATCTTTTACACCATATGTTGGGCACAGCCCACTATTCGAACTTGTAAGTATTCACTGAACGAAATCATCGACATGATTTCGACCAACCTAATACAATTCTCCCAGACAGTCAGTCAGCTGCAACGTAGGACCAGGCACGTATATGCATCGGTCCAAGTTGCCATACCGCATTAGCACAACAAGATGAACACCGGATTCATAAAATTAGTTAATTCAATGGTGGTAATATATAGAATAAAGAGTGTGTATAAGGAGATAGTACAGGAAGGTAGAATTAGTTCCTAGAAAGAAAGATTTGAAGTGATTTTAATATCTTAGTTTAAAGGAAGACGCCATTGTGATCGATTCTGAGCCATGTCACCAAGAGTCTCCAACCGTTGGTTACGATAGTCACGCGGACCCCAACCAGGCAGTCTGCATCTACCAACATGACTCAAACCAGAAGTTAGTGACTTCAAGCACTGATGCCACGTGTTGGTTTGGCCGCCCCTAACTTTCTTCCAATCATCCCTAACACTAGTGAGCATTGCGCGTCGTGGTAATCGGTGTTCAGGCATACGCAGCACGTGGCCCACGCATCTCAGTCGATGAAGGTTCATAACCTCATCAACTGATTTACCATCATTCCCTAATACCCTGCGTCTAACCTCACTATTACTTACCCGGTGATCCCAGCAGATGCGAGTAATATTTCTAAGGCACCTGTGGTCAAATACTAGTAACTTACGAGTATCTTCTACTCTCCCATACAAGTGAGGATTGAAGTCATTATCAAGTAATAGATACAACTGCAACTGAAATGCTCACATGAGAACGACAGAGATTAAGTTTGTCTATCAAAAATATCTACGTTACACACTGAAAATTAGGAAATAAAAAATACTAGAACAGTAAAACTAAAGAGTGGTGAATTATTGCGAGTACGTGATGAAAGATGTGAGGGAATATAAGTTCATTTATCATTCTTTAGATACGGTTCAAAATGCATACCAGTAATTCGAGTACTATATAATGGATTGAGAAAACATTTTGTGATCTGGTTAAAGAAAAGAAGTGAAAATCAAACTTGGAACGGAACGAAAATTACAGTTAACTACATAGCATAAATTTAGGATATAGATTCACATGAAAATAACTAAGTTTCTTTATGCTGAACAAAATTATTCATTATGGTGGTTGAAACTTTATGTATACGTTTCTAACAAATTTTAAAATAGCGTGTTTTGAGAAAATATGTATTTAACAGACATCAATAATCATGACAAACTAAGAGAATGGAAATACTAATAGGCGTAGAAAACAAAGAAATACTGAACAAGCCAAACTTTAACAGAAGATTAAGATTGTGTGTATTAATGAAAAGATTAGAGACATTACATTTTGAAAACTGCAAAACATCATAGCGAGTCTCAAAAAGGTGAAGTATACAGATTAACTTATAGATTTTGACGAAAATCTATCTCGCTCTGTAGGAATCAACATTAATTACCTGTGAACCGTTAACAAAGAATTACAAATATGCACGAAAATATCTCAGTATTTCGAGGGATTTACTAAAACAACTAAACGGGATCACCATCAAACATCTCTAGACTTCAGAAATCTGGAAGTGAAAAATATAAGCAAAGATCGGTCTACAAATCACGTAGACCTGTATATTTGATCTGACTTAGAGATGCCCGCCTTTTCTCATTTCTTTACACGACAACTGTCAGTGTCCCACTTAAGTGGCCAAACGGTGGATATAAAAGTTCCTAATACCTAGTTGAACTGATCTATTTCTTGCCATTCCGGTCATTTAAAGAGCCACTAGCTCGTTTCTCTTAGTAAACATTACACTAACTAAATTTATTATGTCATCCTTTATAAATACTTGTGCAGCACAATAACTGTCTTTTTATCTCCAGAGCTCACATCTCTTGGAACTAATCTTGAATATCAAGATAATTAGACTAATACATGACAAAACTACTTTCACTTTAAGCAAAAGTATGAACTAGTTGCAAAGAGATTCCAAATATCACATATTCCAGATAGAACAATCCGGTCGATTACTGATCCAGGTTATTTCCTGAATTTCGATAGAACAATTTATAAAAGGGACTAATTGCTTTAAATATTTCCTTAACGGCTAATTTCACTGTGCATTACGTACGAGATCAAACTGAGTTAAGAGGGGCATTGCTTCACAATTGATTGATCACTGGGTAACCAATGTCATGCGTGTCTAGTCCTTATTATTAGTGCAGATCGAATGCTATCGATCATGTTGCAATGTGACCACCAGTCTAGGTGACTGGACACCGCGGGCACTATTGTAGGATTAGATGGTGGTTGGAGGTAGTTGACAGGAAACCCTGGACCCGGGTTTCGTGCTACTTGGCACTCGTCAGCAAGGTGTACCTGTAATCTTTGAGGGAACTGGTGCTCCCTGGCGGATTCGATCCCGTGTCACCCAGCTTCACAGTCAGAGACGTTACCACTGAGCTATCCGGGCCGCGGCCGACCTCCTGTAGGGGCATTGCTTACATACCTTGATAGCTAACCGGGGAGTTTCTCCACAAATAATCTTGGTATACTTATTAAGTAGAATTAGAATGGATTATCTAAATGTTTTTCGCAAGTTGTAAGTACCTACGAGGATTTATTGTCTGGTCAACAGAAATATGATGAGTTTGCCTTTTGGTAAATTTTGGAAGAGGTAAGTCAATTTTACTTGGGACTGGGGTTATATTGGTTAAGAACACATGTTCGCTAAAACTAGGTTAAGGGAGCAATTACAATCACAGGTTTGGGAGGATGAGGGCTTGGAAAATAGTAACTACGTAGTTTTTCGTCTATATAAGTATATTTATAGGACAAAAGGGTATAGCTTTAACCTCAGAACCTTATTATTAGATTATGGTAATTGAAACCAAAGTTCACCATTTCTTCTGGATGCAAAATCAAACCACTAAATGTTATTCAGCTTTAGTACCGAGTATAATTTATATTCAAGATACACTCTAGTTTGCAAGAAAAACGTTGGAAAATAGATTGCCTAGTTTATGAAACATCAGACAACTTGGCGTTTGTCAAGTTTGAACGATATGCAGTTATGTCCATCAGATATTATTTCAGTACAACAACAGGGGAAACAAGTCTACCGACAGTGCACTTCCTGGTTGGTAGCAGGAGTAATTTCATTTTACGACCCAGAAATTAGATTTATCAACGAATAATTGAGGCTAACGAGTCATATTTGAAATACTGTCCTCAGAGTATGACTTTAGAAGGATCTTTATGATTAGGACAAGCAGTTAGGGATATACGAGTACATACGTTACTTCTTTAGAGATAAAAATGTGTGAATCATGGAAGTGTATTTTCTAATGTCATTCAGTCAGTAGCAACATAGAACCTGTATGTACGTACATCGGTTCAAGTTGCTATACTCCATTAGCACAGAGGGATGGAGCTGTCAAACCAAATCCCAGAATAATAGAGGTAGTAATAGTATCAGTGATAATAGGAAAGATAAAGCATCAAAGATACGACACGAAAAGAAAATATAATTCAGTGAAATAAAAACGAAAAACGTTATGAGGAATATAGAATCTTAGAATTTCGGGGAAAACAAAGAATGAATACACCTGTATCATTGCAAACGATTTTGAGCCATGTCATTCAAAGTCTCTAACCATTGTTTACAATAATCATGCGGGACCCAACCAGGGAGTCTACACCTGCTAAAGTGGCCAAGCCCAATTGTCAGTAACTTTATGGTTAGGTAGTCCCTAGTTTTTTTCCAGCCTACTCCTGAACCAGAAAATATTTCTTGTCGAGGTAGGCGATGATTGGGCATACGTAAAATATGTCCCAACCACCTCAGTTGATGAAAATTTATTACCTCATCAGCCGATTTCCCATATTAACCCAGTATGTTGTTCTTAATTTAGTCATTGTTTACTCCGTGGTCTCAAACTACACCAGCAATGCTTCGAAGACACCTATGATCGAACACCAGTAACCTACGAATATCCTCTACTCTTAACAAACATCTTTCACACCCACAAAGTAGAACGGAGCGAACTACTGATATTTCAGAATCTACATTGGTCAAACTGATTCCTTTGTGATTGCCACAGGAGGAGTTTTGTTCTTTCTCATAGACTGGGATGATCAGCGATTTAAACGAGTCAGATGAGATTACATTCAGTTCCTAGATTTTAGCTAAGGTCCTAGTTAATTTAACTGCCAAAACTGGACTACCAACGTCAAAAATCTCAGGGGTTGGTCCATCAGGTCCTGATGTTCTCCCTTGCTTTAGATTACCCATAGCCTTTTCAACCTCACTAAAAGTTAGAGAATTTACATTAATTTGCTACGCAGGTTGCTTGGAGATAGTGAGTGGCTAAAGTGTGGATGAAGGTCAATTGAATTGTTTCCTAAAGTGTTCTGCTCATCGGTTCAATCTCCTGGATTGAGAGTGGATAAAAGTTTCATCTTTTTCCGAGATAGTTTCACCAACAGATTGATTTTTAACATCCGTCTCCTTGATAATTATGAACAGTTGTCTATTGTTACCTATCGCTGCTGCTTTTCCCACCACTACTCGCAATTGCTACGTAAGCTTTTTATCAGCCTACGTTTAAGCTGACCCCGCTCCTCATCGTGTTCGGAACCTGAGTTCTGTAGACACTGCTGAAACCTGATTTTCCCTAACCTTTTGGTTTGAGTTACTAGTAGATGTCACTGCTGTTTCTACAGCTTTTTGGATATCATACCGCGCTATATCGTGATGGATATCATTTTCACAGTTGACTAGCTCCTGCTCTAGTTGTTCCTCAAATATATTCTTAATTTTTTCATCATTAAGTTGAAGTCTAAGGGGTTTTCTTGCTGTGGTTTTTCTACATCCAGTAAGACTCAGCCAAATACGTGCTCGAACCAGAGCATAATTTGAGTGTAAACATGTGCTCCAAAATGTATGACAGCCTTTAACCGAGCTCCCCCAACGACGGCTAATGGCGGTTCGATCTATTTAAATTCATCGATGAGTCGATTGTGTAGGTCACCACGTCAGACGATGTTTCTCATGTTTAAAGTTGGCGTTTGCCAGAAATAGGCGGTTATCTGAGCATAGTTGTCGTCATTATCTGTTGCTGAGCCGCTACACCGTAAGATCCGCTTAAGTGCCTATCGGTTTGGTTTAGTTTACCTAAATAAATAATAAAATCACCCGCCACTATTACATCTAAGCGTTCGGCTTTTTGAGTGATATTGGACAGCTTCCTATAAAATTAAATTTTGACTTCGTTCGAGCAGCAAACAATGAGAGCGTAGAGAGAGACAACCAAGAGGTAATGCAGTGTGTTTTTATCTTTTCGAGTTCTTAGTCTCGTTTAGTTGGACAGCGCACAGGAGACTGTCTATTGGAATAGAGTCAATGAGAACCTGTTCTGCTCTAGAACTCAATACTGCTATACCGACACCAAAGAGGATACATGAAGTAGCAGTGGGGTCTCCAGATACTGGAAGAATAAATCGCACCGGTTTTTTTATATTGACAAGGTGAGATCAAATGAATGATGGTACTTGGATCCTGCATGCGCGTTTCGGAGACGTAGCACATATCGATCGCGCAAGACTACTGTCCTAGCTAAGGAGGCCTGTTGTCCTATCTGACCCAACGTTCGAACATTGAAAGCTCCAATATGTAGATTAGAGTGTGGTTTCAGGTGACTAGGAATAACATTTCGTGAACTCGAACCATTAGCATTGTTGGTGGGTGTTGATAAAAATATATGATAAGGATTAGACTAAGAAGGAAGAACTACTACGTGATTTGAACGTGGGTGAAAATGAAGACAGTGGATTGCAAACGTTATTGAAATCTATTACATTTACATAGTGAAGTGGGTAGGGTACTGGGTGCTTTTAGAAATGAAGCTTAGTGGGTTAATGAGACTGTAGTCATTGGTTTGAGAATTGTCAAGTAACAGGCGAACGTACCAGTCAAAATAAAAATAAATAGCTAGCTGACGTAATTTAAACCCAGTAACATCGCAATTAGGATGAACTAAGAGCAATGCACTTTTAGGGAAAAACTACATGTCAATATACTCATACTTGGACTGCAGTTATATCGATATGAATAAAAGCTATGTTTCTTGTGGGAGTGATCAGTTTTATAGCAAGAGTGTTTGAGGCTAGTTCTGCAATTAGACAGCGAAACGTGATTAGTAACCAGTTTTTGATCGTTCCCTTGAATCGAGTTTACACATATGAGGCGTGACCTTTGAAAGCTTTCTTGTCACAAATGATCTTTAGCTGCTTTATTTTGTACTGGCAACCAAATACACAGAATAAAGGGCATAATAAAATGTTTCGAGTCTAAAAACATAACAATATAAGTGTATCAAAAGATGTTTTTGTTATCTGTAAACATGTAAACTTTGGATTCCCGACCGTAGCTGCTACCTTGACGTGGTGGTCGGGCTTGTCTATCGTGATGACCCAACCGAGCTATATTGGCTGGAACACATGTTCCTGCAGGTTCTACCATGCCAGGCAGGTCGATTGGAGAACAGTAAGACTAAAAGCAGCAACTCAAGTCGTACTGCTGACTGCACAGAGGTGTGACAGCAGTAAGGTGTTTCCCTCGGACAACCAGCATCTGCAGCGATGCTGTCTTCTCACAAGGAAGCAAGGGGTTAGAAAAGGTTGACCCTAAAAATGTCACACCTCACCTTACCCCACGGATTTCCGTCTCCGGCGGTAAGGCCGTTTGAAGAACGGAGCTAACACATTAAAAACCTCCCACAAAAAGGCCGTGCGCGACCGGCCTCAAGCAGTTGTCCCTTGGGCTCTGCGGTCACGCTCCCAGGTCGTTAAGACCAACACTAATCCGACTTCCTTTTCAGGTTCCTCAAGAAATACCCTTCCACGGTGTGGGCAACCGGGAAGTGAAATCAGCCCTCATACCCGTAACAGCACACGAGACCAAGTTGGTCACATTCAAATCCTTCCTACACCTCCTAATAACTCTCTTATCTCCACGACTAACCCTTCTCACGTCCCTTTATCACCTCGCTATGCTAGTGCGAACGATCCGAGTACGCGGAATGTTATTCCTGGTCTCCTGAAACCACGCTCCAAACTACACGTAGGAGCTCTCAACGCTCGTGTTAGCTCCGTACTTTTTTGCGATCTTACGGAAATTCGTGGGATAAGACGAGGTGTGTATTTTTAGGGTCAATCTTTCTAATCTCTCTCTTCCTTTGTGAGAAGGCAGCGTCATTGCAGATGCTGCTGTTGTAATGGACGATAACAGGCGGGTAAAACCAATAAATTGTATAAACAAAATTACACAATATCTTAGTAAAATATGAGAACCATACATTGAATACTGAATTTGGAAATTTCCATGATTTGTCCTTGACATTGTTTATGATCCTTCTAATTTACAATTCCTTTCTATTCTCTTCAACTCGATCTTATTAGCCTTCTGTTAGCAGGTTTTCCACTTTTGATTTGCGTTATATACTACTTATGTCGACATGAGTAGCATACGCCACGTTCGCCCCCCCCCCACTTTAAACAGTCGCTCTTGCGGTGGTTCTACTCTCCGTGCCAATTTCCCTGTTGTCGCAGACTGTGCCACGCTCTCCATCGGTGCGCTGACCACCATGGCAATGCCGGACTAACTAAAACCGATGTACACCTAACACCCGGGACATTTGACGTATGCGCTCCAGCGAACTGTCGAGCCATCTACATCTGATGTCCGCCTGGCAGCTGCACGTCCCACTTCTTCTCTCAGTCAACAACCGCCACCCCTCCAAAATACTCCACTCGACGTCATCTACCCGCATCATACCGCCCCAACAAGGGCTCCTCCCTAGTTCTCGCAACGGCGTTCGCAGAAATCCCCCTCTTCGTCTTTCCCTTGACAATGACACCGAAATGTAATGAATGAGAACTCAGGTTGAGATAATCAATTAATTGTTCAACACAGATCTACAGAGTTCTTTGGCAAAGTGTAAAAACCATATATTCAAGACTTCATTTGCAAATTCTTTATCAACTGTCTCAAGCTTCATCGTTCCTTCATCGCTATTGCAATTACTCTCTGTTCCCGATCTATTCGATCCGGTCTTCATAACCTTCTGCTGCCAAGCCTTCCACTTCCTATAGGTGTTACATAATACTTATGTCGATATACGAAGCATAAAACCACTGTCATACCCCTATACAGTCAGTAGTACGACTTCCACCTCGTACCTTAGGTTGGTGCTTTTAGTCCTACTGTTCTCCAACCGACCTGTTTGACATCGTAGGACCTAAAGAAACGTGTTCCAGCTCATTCAAGACGTCACGATAGGCAGGTCCGACCACCACGTCAAGGGAGCATTTACGGTCGGCCAATAAACGCCTTTACATGGTGGAATTCTCACGAAAATGAATTGTTGCCGAAAGCTTGATGGAAATGAAATATTTGATTAGTTAGTAATAAAATTCATAGGATCGACAATATAAACTTACTCAAATGAATTCAGACTGTTTGGTTTATGAACATAATTGGTAGGTACATAACCCAATTGACCAGCCACATTCCTAACATACCACCATTGAGAATTACTCTGATTGACTACGTAATACTTTTCACCTTTTTGTAAAGGCAGTTGGTTTTCCCTTACAGGATTGTAGTTGTATACTGCAATAACTGTATTTTCTCCTTCATCCTAAAAGTAGTTTAGGATGATAAGTAGTATACTTTATGTACAGAAACTTATGGATATTTTAAATAACAATATTGACAGTAATAATTGCTATATTTAATATGTTTAGTCTGAAATAAAATCCTCATTAGTAAAGAATTAACAAGTAAAATGTTATGTCGCACAAATATCTTTTCTTTTGATAACATAGTAACCTATGTATATTTTTATTCAGTGTCCCGGCTACCAGGGAATAAGAACGAGCCAAAAATGAAGAAGTAGGGAACGAATCTATTAGCAACATAATGCAGCTAAAGAATGTGCACTCGGTAACCTCATGAATGAGCCGATGAGGATGAGTCTAATTACTTAAACTAAAATTCAAAGAGCAAATTAAAAATTTGAAAAGACTAGAATAAATCCAAGCTTTATTTAGTCTTTGGCGAAAATTTTTCCAGAAAATAATACTATTTCTCGACAACGAAGTCCTACTCACTGCCTTCTCGTGGCGGGGGTGTTGTTTACGAAAATGAGAGGACGAAAAGCGAACGTCCGGCGCCATAACCGGATCCCAATTCTATGGTGCACATGGGCTCCAGTATCCTGAAGGAACAAATGGCGTATGAACCAACTTTTGGTCACCGGCTTCCATGGGACTGCATCTCCTCACGATGCTCCACTGCCTTGTGGACTAGACCTTTAAGTCAAAGGCTCGGGGTGTGGCCCTCTAAGAAAACCACCTGCTTCGGTTTGGGCACCCGGGCAGTATCTCAGCCCATACACTAAAACCATGATGAACTATCTGCTTATAGAAAATATTCGTTTCTCTCCGACTAACATTGAAATGACTGGTATTATTATTATTATTATTATTTACCACGTCATTTATTCACTATCTCCTATTTCTACTTTTTGTATCCGTTTCGACTCAGACAGCAGCTCGCCTATGGTGAAAATTCAGCTTTATCTAAACGTTCTCGAGTCACTGCCTGGTTGAAAATTGTATATTACCACCGAATACGAGTACTGAAGCAGTTTTTCTGAAACCACGTGCACCATTCAAACTGGCTGCCTTCAACTTTCGCACACTTATGCAGGTCGGACAACAGATAGGGCTGGGTATGTCATTGGAAAGTCTTAATATTGATGTGTGTTGTCTATCCGAGACCCGTATTCAAGACTCTGGTGAAGTACTATAAGTTCGCTCTCCATCTGTCGCTTCGAAAAGCTGGTTTTATCCGGGGACCCTGTGGCATCTTCGTCTGGTCTTGCTGGCGTTGGTGTCACACTAAGCGCAAGAGCTGAGGCAGCACTAGTCGAATGGATCCCCATTAACAGTCGGTTATGTGCTATTAGATTAGAAAAGTTCCATGAAAGTGAGAAGAAATCGGCGTGAGAAACGATGTCTTTTCGTCATCTCCGCCTATGCCCCGACAGATTGCAGCCCGGATGCAATCAAGGACGAGTTCTACCACCAGCTAACTGTTCTTCTCCAGAAAGCGCGTTCGACAGATATTGTAGTACTAGCTGGAGACTTGAATGCTCAGGTCGGGCGTCTAGGCACAGAAGAGAGTCGTTTAGGTGACCGATGGGGACTCGTTGGTCGCAGGACAGATAATGGGGAACGTCTACTGCAACTATGCACAGACCACAACCTGTTTCTGGCTAGCACTAACTTTCGGCACAGTCATCGCCGATTGATCACATCGCGATCAGCTACCGCTGGCGCGGTTGTGTACAAGACTTCCGCTCCTTTTGGAGTACCTATCTGGAATCTGATCATGCTCTGGTCTGCGCCAATCTTACCTTACTTTTCAGTGGACAACGAAGTGACCGCCACCAAAGGATTGATGTTAGCAAGCTGGCTGCAACTTCTGTTGCTCCGGCAACATCGATCAGACTGTCCTGCTCTCCATGGCCGGTGACGACTGATCCACCAAATGAGGCGGAAGTCCGCAAGGAACTCCAACTCTTGAAACGTTACAAATCACCGTGCCCAGACGACTTACCTCCGGCTCTTTTTAAAGATGGTGGTGACTTTCTGACTAAGGGACTGACGACGTTGTTTACAAGGATCTGGGAACTAGAGAGTATACCAACGTCATGGAATGAGTCGATAGTTGTCCCTATCTTTAAAAAGGGTTCACGTCGTTCCTGTGACAACTATCGGGGGATAAGTCTACTTCCGATTGCGTCCAAGCTATTGGCTTCCGTCATACTTCGTAGGTTGTTCAAAACCCGAGAAGGATTGACTCGCGAGGAGCAGGCTGGGTTTCGTTCCGGCCGAGGATGTATTGATCATATCTTCACCCTCCGCCAAGTGTTAGAACACCGCCATACTTATCAAAGGCCAACAATCGTAGTGTTTCTTGACATCAGGGCTGCCTTCGATTCGTTGGACAGAACTGTTCTCTGGGATTGTCTATTGAAGAAGGATGTGCCTGAGAAGTTTATTAACATCCTAAAAGCCCTATACACAAACACCTCAGGCAGAGTGAGGGCATACAACCACCTTTCTCCACTATTCCATTCGAGCAGTGGGGTTAGACAGGGTTGCCCAATCTCACCATTCCTCTTCAACTTTGCCATCGATGACATTCTAGAAACAGCTCTGATGGATGTAAGTAATGGTGGTGTGGATCTATTGCCTGGAGAAAGACTTCTCGACCTTCAATATGCTGATGATATTGTCTTACTGTGCGAGAATGCCCAAGCCATGCAATCCGCACTTAATCAGTTGGCAATCAGTGTCAGTAGGTATGGTATGTGCTTTGCACCCTCCAAGTGCAAAGTACTTCTACAAGACTGGCAGGATTCTAATCCTGTACTCACTCTGGATGGTGAGCAGATTGAAGTAATCGAGAAGTTCGTGTATCTGGGTAGCTGTATAAGTGCTGGTGGTGGCATGAGTGACGAGATCAATGCACGTATAGTGAAAGCCAGAGTGGCTTATGCCAATCTGGGCCATCTTTGGCGCCTTCGTAATGTTAGTCTGGCTGTAAAAGGACGGATCTACAACGTGTCGGTGAGAACAGTTCTGCTCTATGCTTGTGAAACATGACCTCTCCGGGTTGAGGATGTTAGACGACTCTCTGTGTTCGATCATCGTTGTCTCCGAAGGATTGCTGGCATCCAGTGGCAACACCATGTCAGTAATGCAGAGGTTCGGCATCGTGTGTTCGGTCACAGAGACGATAATGAAATTGGTGTCACCATCTTGAAACACCGACTTCGGTGGCTTGGACATGTTCTACGAATGTCGTCCCAGAGAATTCCACGTCGTGCATTATTTGCCGACTCTGGGACTGGTTGGAAAAAGCGGAGAGGTGGTCAGTATATGACATGGTGTCGTGGTATGAAAGAAAGCTGCAAAAAGGCTAGCTTCTGTTGGTCCTTCACGACTCCCTGGTTGGGGTCCTTGAGATGGTGTAACGCAGTGGCTAGAGACGTTATCAGATATGGCTCAGAATAGAAGCCAGTGGCGATCGTGCTGTAACCTTCTTTTACTTTCTTCATAAAAAGTGGTTGCTCCTTCCTTAACTGAAAGATCTCTTCTGATTGTACCTTTCCGTTTCCCCCACCATTGTTCTCTCTCTCTCTCTTTTCTTTTTATAATTCCCCACGTTCATTACTTTTTTTTCTCTTTTCTCCTCTTCAAATTATCATTGTTTTGTGTGGCGCATATATATTTGGTGCCCCCCTGTACCAATATTTATGTGTTCAAATAAATAATAAATAAATATTTGTATTTCGAAACTGGATATAGTTGCTTAATGAAGTAAAGTTATTCGGAAATCATCATTTCATCTTTCATGTCTGATTTATCCATACACTGATGCTTAGAGTTCAGTTCATCTTCAAATTCCTAGATATCAATAAACTACTTTAGGATTCCATAACGAAACTGGAATGAACAGACTGTATATTTATTTCGGGTTTAAATAGAAATAATCCTGGTATCTTTTGAAATTTTCGAGTGGAAATCTGAAAATTTCCGGGGTGTTTTGCACCTAAAAAACGTAAAATACAATCAAGGCTTGACCTATAGGAAACTCAAAAGTACAGTATAGTATTAAGTGTGCCAGTAAAACTTCTCAACTGAAGAATATGCGCAAACTTTAGTGAGTTATGTAGGGAGTTAAATGCTGTCGCAAGATCAAGAAATACAACTATGGTCGGACGTTCATATGTTCGTGTTCCAGAACGTGACGTAGGACGAACAGTTCACCTACACATCCATGTCTAGGACTGAGATTACCCAGGCTTGCGCTAGTTTTTATTTCATGAACCCTAGATAAGCGTTAAATGATTATTGAGGGTGATATTTCAGACTTTATATATTGGTCAAATTGATTCTTTTGCGATTGTCACATAAGGAGTTTTGTTCTTTCTCATAGACTGGGACAATCAGCGATCGAGACCAGTCAGATGGGATTATATTCAGTTCCTGGATTTTAGACAAGATACCAGTGAATTTAACGGCTAAAACTGGACTACCACGCTTAATCCATCAAGATCTGCTACCATTTCTCCCTTTCGTTAGCTATAGCATTTATAATTTCGTTAAGAGTTGAAGGTCTTATATAGACATCCCATTAAGATTGCTTGCTAAAAGTAAGCAAATGAAAGGTAATTGCAGAGCAGTCAGTGTTCTGCCCATCGTACTAGCCTCCTGTGTTGAGAGTAGGTCACGGTCCCATTTTCCCCTGGAATAATCTGACTTCCGAATTAATAATACCGATTCGCTTCATAAGTCTGAAAAGTTGACCACTACTTCCTATCGCTACCGTCTTTTCTACTGCTTTACTGACGACCGCTGCTCGCGATCGTTGCGTGGACTTTTTGTCAATCTACGCTTTGTTCTGCTTTTGAAATTAGTATTATACCTATCCCAGAGACCAAAAACGTAGTAAAATCCCTAGATACATGGAGGGCAATTCATCCATGTTCTTAATATTGACTACGTGAGGCTCATTGAATAACTACTTTTAAATTATATGTGCGTGTTTCGCAGATACAGAATACATCAATGACAGGATATTTTAAAGTCCAAGTTAACGAAATCTGCTGTTTGATTCGGTATAAGTTTCAAGATTTGAAAGTCCAAACATGCACTTCAGAGAGCGGTTTCAGACGATGAACAATATTTCATGAACTCGAGTGATTAGCATTGGTGGACCGTGAGGATAAAGTCATAAAAAGGTTGATGGTGGCGATAGAAGTAATATTAAGGAGTGATGAAGGGATTCAGCCCCGAAGAAGCTTATCCCACATCCTGTTCCATACCACTCGGTCTGATCCGATTGACTTCGGTTTGGGCAGCCGGGCAGTACCATAGCTTACACACAAATCAAGTGACTTGGCACATATGTATTCGGTGCTACTTTGTACCAAAATTTATGTGTTCAAATAAATAAATACTGACTTCATGGATTGACGCTTAGACCGTATCTACCCACCTCCAGTTATTCATGGTTTAGTCCTACGTAAACTAGCATTTCACTTACAAGGAGATGGTTAGTCATGCGTAAGATATGTTCTAACCACCTAAGTTGAAGATTTAGTCTTAATAATCAACTTACACCAACGAGACTATGATTTATGGACGAGTCAGTCAGAAGCGTTTGAGCTATAACAAGGTGACGGTGCCTATTTCAGTATTCAATGTTCACGTATGATTGATTTACAGCTGATTTTAGAGAAGACGTTATAATTGAGCAACTACAACAAATGGGATTACTAAGAAATTCCTTTATTTAAGATTGCAATAGTAAAATGACTCCTGGATCTTGTGCAGACTATCGTGGTGATATTGTATTTCGATGTAATATAAGTTAGAGGAAAAATTAAGCTACAACGGGAACTGTTTTCGCCCGATCACGATTGAGACTAAAACCGATTATAATTCTTGCAAACTGGATAATAAGAACACAAGTAACACCGGATGCAAACTTTGCAGATGTCACCGAAGCTTCCGCAGTTCAGTGGTATAAGTATTGTCGAGATATATGTGCAATAAAAATGAAAAGCTTGCATGAGTCGTTTGGAGGATTTGAGAGAATCGTAGAAGTAGACGAAACAGTCGTTAGAAAACTAATATTCAATAGAGGACGAAGCGTTATAGAACATTGGGTAAGTAGCATTTCCATAAATATACTTAACAGGTTCTTGGTATATACGATAGACTACCTCAAAAAGAACACTTCCAGAACGTTAGAAAACGAGAAGCTACAACTATAATACCAATTATACGAGAGTATGTGCAGCCGGGATCCACAATATACACGGATGACTGGAGAGCATGTAGATGCTTACATAGACTTGATTACGTGCATCGTGTCGTCGTCCACAAGCGGCATTTTGTAGACCCCACCACCGGAGTACACACAAATAATATAGAAGCATTGTGGTCGAGGCTAAAATAAATTTTGCGACTCTTATGGAGTCACATGGATGAGTTCCTGTATCGCATGCATTACGATCTCAGAACTGCAGAGCCTCTTTCTAGCCTTGAAAGGTTTTTAAACCATGTTAAAGAAGTGTATCTACTCCATGTTTTCGGTTTTGTATCATACATTCTTACTCTGTTCCGGCTGTTTCCTGATTGGCTTAAATTTGTCAAGATCACTTAAGATTCGTTCAAAGGTCGTCCATAAGTTATAGTCTCGCTCATTTATATCAATGTCTTATAAACTAAAAACCTACTGTCTAAACTTACAGTCCCTATTATGAATTATAACTGACTGAGACTAGAAGAATATGGATTGGCACTTACCATATCAAAAGTTGGCTGAATATAACGTAAAGAATGTCCTCGATTTTGATTCATTCCTGACCGACGCAATGCATTATTTAAATGGGAAAATTGACCTGCGTTGCTATTTGCAAGCATAGCAAGCTGTTGTTGTTTCTGCTGTAGTAGAAGCTGTTGTTGTTGTATTTGAAATAAAGTTGAAGGAGAAATCGAACTAGTGACGGCGGTAGACATTAACACTCCTGTGACAGGAGTTGAAAGACCAGGTGTTTGATGAAGTACAGGCAACCCGACAGCGGAAGTAAGTGGAATAAATGAAGCTGCAGTGGAAACTATGTTAGCCGGATTTAAATCAGATACGGATAGTGGATTAGACGTAAGTTGCACGTTTGAATTAAGCTGCATTGTAACTAATTGAGGAGTAGAAACAGGATAAGAAGGTTGTGTATTTGTCACTAGGTTAGCTGTCGTTGCAACCTGCGGAATTTGAGGTTGACAGTTATTTGAGTCGACTCCCGCAGCTGTACGCCAAAGTTGCTCAATGACCACAGATGGACCTGGTTCATTAGTGGGCTGACACCCCATAGATCGACGATTGATGTCATCACAACAACTATATCTACCAGGACGTTTCCAAACACCGGGATGATAACGTGGCAAAAAAGTAGCTCCTCGTTCACGTGTATCTAAAATGTTTACAAGAGCTTTATTGAGTAAACAGGTAGGAAGAAGTATGTACAGAAAGATTACTAACATATGTCTAGCTGTAGTACTTACAAAATCTGACCAGACTAATCCAGTCATCTCGTTCAATGGCGGAATTTGCGACAATATACAAGAGATACCAAGTGCTAGAAATCGCATCTTCTGCATAAGCAACCTTCCAAATAACAAGGAAAAGTGAGTAACTTTAAACATACCTGAAAAGCATTCTTTTTGTTATCAAGCTCATCGTCTTGTACTTTTTCAATGAACTTAACATGACTGAGAAGAAGCTGACCTTTCTCTTTACCACGATTCTAAAACAAAAATTATACATTTTGAAAAACGATCAACGTACTCCACCGCTAACTTCGAAATACCGGATACAATATGGTTGCAATACGAACTCACGCAACTTGTAATTATCGCGCCCGAAGAGTTTTTTATTCTGCGATCTCTTTGTCATGCGAGAGACTTTCAGTTCTTGGTCTGTAGAAATCATCATTAATTACCTGTGAACCGTTAACAAAGAATTACAAATATGCACGAAAATATCTCAGTATTTCGAGGGATTTACTAAAACAACCAAACGGGATCACCATCAAACATCTCTAGACTTCAGAAATCTGGAAGTGAAAAATATAAGCAAAGATCGGTCTACAAATCACGTAGACCTGTATATTTGATCTGACTTAGAGATGCCCGCCTTTTCTCATTTCTTTACACGACAACTGTCAGTGTCCCACTTAAGTGGCCAAACGGTGGATATAAAAGTTCCTAATACCTAGTTGAACTGATCTATTTCTTGCCATTCCGGTCATTTAAAGAGCCACTAGCTCGTTTCTCTTAGTAAACATTACACTAACTAAATTTATTATGTCATCCTTTATAAATACTTGTGCAGCACAATAACTGTCTTTTTATCTCCAGAGCTCACATCTCTTGGAACTAATCTTGAATATCAAGATAATTAGACTAATACATGACAAAACTACTTTCACTTTAAGCAAAAGTATGAACTAGTTGCAAAGAGATTCCAAATATCACATATTCCAGATAGAACAATCCGGTCGATTACTGATCCAGGTTATTTCCTGAATTTCGATAGAACAATTTATAAAAGGGACTAATTGCTTTAAATATTTCCTTAACGGCTAATTTCACTGTGCATTACGTACGAGATCAAACTGAGTTAAGAGGGGCATTGCTTCACAATTGATTGATCACTGGGTAACCAATGTCATGCGTGTCTAGTCCTTATTATTAGTGCAGATCGAATGCTATCGATCATGTTGCAATGTGACCACCAGTCTAGGTGACTGGACACCGCGGGCACTATTGTAGGATTAGATGGTGGTTGGAGGTAGTTGACAGGAAACCCTGGACCCGGGTTTCGTGCTACTTGGCACTCGTCAGCAAGGTGTACCTGTAATCTTTGAGGGAACTGGTGCTCCCTGGCGGATTCGATCCCGTGTCACCCAGCTTCACAGTCAGAGACGTTACCACTGAGCTATCCGGGCCGCGACCGACCTCCTGTAGGGGCATTGCTTACATACCTTGATAGCTAACCGGGGAGTTTCTCCACAAATAATCTTGGTATACTTATTAAGTAGAATTAGAATGGATTATCTAAATGTTTTTCGCAAGTTGTAAGTACCTACGAGGATTTATTGTCTGGTCAACAGAAATATGATGAGTTTGCCTTTTGGTAAATTTTGGAAGAGGTAAGTCAATTTTACTTGGGACTGGGGTTATATTGGTTAAGAACACATGTTCGCTAAAACTAGGTTAAGGGAGCAATTACAATCACAGGTTTGGGAGGATGAGGGCTTGGAAAATAGTAACTACGTAGTTTTTCGTCTATATAAGTATATTTATAGGACAAAAGGGTATAGCTTTAACCTCAGAACCTTATTATTAGATTATGGTAATTGAAACCAAAGTTCACCATTTCTTCTGGATGCAAAATCAAACCACTAAATGTTATTCAGCTTTAGTACCGAGTATAATTTATATTCAAGATACACTCTAGTTTGCAAGAAAAACGTTGGAAAATAGATTGCCTAGTTTATGAAACATCAGACAACTTGGCGTTTGTCAAGTTTGAACGATATGCAGTTATGTCCATCAGATATTATTTCAGTACAACAACAGGGGAAACAAGTCTACCGACAGTGCACTTCCTGGTTGGTAGCAGGAGTAATTTCATTTTACGACCCAGAAATTAGATTTATCAACGAATAATTGAGGCTAACGAGTCATATTTGAAATACTGTCCTCAGAGTATGACTTTAGAAGGATCTTTATGATTAGGACAAGCAGTTAGGGATATACGAGTACATACGTTACTTCTTTAGAGATAAAAATGTGTGAATCATGGAAGTGTATTTTCTAATGTCATTCAGTCAGTAGCAACATAGAACCTGTATGTACGTACATCGGTTCAAGTTGCTATACTCCATTAGCACAGAGGGAGGGAGCTGTCAAACCAAATCCCAGAATAATAGAGGTAGTAATAGTATCAGTGATAATAGGAAAGATAAAGCATCAAAGATACGACACGAAAAGAAAATATAATTCAGTGAAATAAAAACGAAAAACGTTATGAGGAATATAGAATCTTAGAATTTCGGGGAAAACAAAGAATGAATACACCTGTATCATTGCAAACGATTTTGAGCCATGTCATTCAAAGTCTCTAACCATTGTTTACAATAATCATGCGGGACCCAACCAGGGAGTCTACACCTGCTAAAGTGGCCAAGCCCAATTGTCAGTAACTTTATGGTTAGGTAGTCCCTAGTTTTTTTCCAGCCTACTCCTGAACCAGAAAATATTTCTTGTCGAGGTAGGCGATGATTGGGCATACGTAAAATATGTCCCAACCACCTCAGTTGATGAAAATTTATTACCTCATCAGCCGATTTCCCATATTAACCCAGTATGTTGTTCTTAATTTAGTCATTGTTTACTCCGTGGTCTCAAACTACACCAGCAATGCTTCGAAGACACCTATGATCGAACACCAGTAACCTACGAATATCCTCTACTCTTAACAAACATGTTTCACACCCACAAAGTAGAACGGAGCGAACTACTGATATTTCAGAATCTACATTGGTCAAACTGATTCCTTTGTGATTGCCACAGGAGGAGTTTTGTTCTTTCTCATAGACTGGGATGATCAGCGATTTAAACGAGTCAGATGAGATTACATTCAGTTCCTAGATTTTAGCTAAGGTCCTAGTTAATTTAACTGCCAAAACTGGACTACCAACGTCAAAAATCTCAGGGGTTGGTCTATCAGGTCCTGATGTTCTCCCTTGCTTTAGATTACCCATAGCCTTTTCAACCTCACTAAAAGTTAGAGAATTTACATTAATTTGCTACGCAGGTTGCTTGGAGATAGTGAGTGGCTAAAGTGTGGATGAAGGTCAATTGAATTGTTTCCTAAAGTGTTCTGCTCATCGGTTCAATCTCCTGGATTGAGAGTGGATAAAAGTTTCATCTTTTTCCGAGATAGTTTCACCAACAGATTGATTTTTAACATCCGTCTCCTTGATAATTATGAACAGTTGTCTATTGTTACCTATCGCTGCTGCTTTTCCCACCACTACTCGCAATTGCTACGTAAGCTTTTTATCAGCCTACGTTTAAGCTGACCCCGCTCCTCATCGTGTTCGGAACCTGAGTTCTGTAGACACTGCTGAAACCTGATTTTCCCTAACCTTTTGGTTTGAGTTACTAGTAGATGTCACTGCTGTTTCTACAGCTTTTTGGATATCATACCGCGCTATATCGTGATGGATATCATTTTCACAGTTGACTAGCTCCTGCTCTAGTTGTTCCTCAAATATATTCTTAATTTTTTCATCATTAAGTTGAAGTCTAAGGGGTTTTCTTGCTGTGGTTTTTCTACATCCAGTAAGACTCAGCCAAATACGTGCTCGAACCAGAGCATAATTTGAGTGTAAACATGTGCTCCAAAATGTATGACAGCCTTTAACCGAGCTCCCCCAACGACGGCTAATGGCGGTTCGATCTATTTAAATTCATCGATGAGTCGATTGTGTAGGTCACCACGTCAGACGATGTTTCTCATGTTTAAAGTTGGCGTTTGCCAGAAATAGGCGGTTATCTGAGCATAGTTGTCGTCATTATCTGTTGCTGAGCCGCTACACCGTAAGATCCGCTTAAGTGCCTATCGGTTTGGTTTAGTTTACCTAAATAAATAATAAAATCACCCGCCACTATTACATCTAAGCGTTCGGCTTTTTGAGTGATATTGGACAGCTTCCTATAAAATTAAATTTTGACTTCGTTCGAGCAGCAAACAATGAGAGCGTAGAGAGAGACAACCAAGAGGTAATGCAGTGTGTTTTTATCTTTTCGAGTTCTTAGTCTCGTTTAGTTGGACAGCGCACAGGAGACTGTCTATTGGAATAGAGTCAATGAGAACCTGTTCTGCTCTAGAACTCAATACTGCTATACCGACACCAAAGAGGATACATGAAGTAGCAGTGGGGTCTCCAGATACTGGAAGAATAAATCGCACCGGTTTTTTATATTGACAAGGTGAGATCAAATGAATGATGGTACTTGGATCCTGCATGCGCGTTTCGGAGACGTAGCACATATCGATCGCGCAAGACTACTGTCCTAGCTAAGGAGGCCTGTTGTCCTATCTGACCCAACGTTCGAACATTGAAAGCTCCAATATGTAGATTAGAGTGTGGTTTCAGGTGACTAGGAATAACATTTCGTGAACTCGAACCATTAGCATTGTTGGTGGGTGTTGATAAAAATATATGATAAGGATTAGACTAAGAAGGAAGAACTACTACGTGATTTGAACGTGGGTGAAAATGAAGACAGTGGATTGCAAACGTTATTGAAATCTATTACATTTACATAGTGAAGTGGGTAGGGTACTGGGTGCTTTTAGAAATGAAGCTTAGTGGGTTAATGAGACTGTAGTCATTGGTTTGAGAATTGTCAAGTAACAGGCGAACGTACCAGTCAAAATAAAAATAAATAGCTAGCTGACGTAATTTAAACCCAGTAACATCGCAATTAGGATGAACTAAGAGCAATGCACTTTTAGGGAAAAACTACATGTCAACATACTCATACTTGGACTGCAGTTATATCGATATGAATAAAAGCTATGTTTCTTGTGGGAGTGATCAGTTTTATAGCAAGAGTGTTTGAGGCTAGTTCTGCAATTAGACAGCGAAACGTGATTAGTAACCAGTTTTTGATCGTTCCCTTGAATCGAGTTTACACATATGAGGCGTGACCTTTGAAAGCTTTCTTGTCACAAATGATCTTTAGCTGCTTTATTTTGTACTGGCAACCAAATACACAGAATAAAGGGCATAATAAAATGTTTCGAGTCTAAAAACATAACAATATAAGTGTATCAAAAGATGTTTTTGTTATCTGTAAACATGTAAACTTTGGATTCCCGACCGTAGCTGCTACCTTGACGTGGTGGTCGGGCTTGTCTATCGTGATGACCCAACCGAGCTATATTGGCTGGAACACATGTTCCTGCAGGTTCTACCATGCCAGGCAGGTCGATTGGAGAACAGTAAGACTAAAAGCAGCAACTCAAGTCGTACTGCTGACTGCACAGAGGTGTGACAGCAGTAAGGTGTTTCCCTCGGACAACCAGCATCTGCAGCGATGCTGTCTTCTCACAAGGAAGCAAGGGGTTAGAAAAGGTTGGCCCTAAAAATGTCACACCTCACCTTACCCCACGGATTTCCGTCTCCGGCGGTAAGGCCGTTTAAAGAACGGAGCTAACACATTAAAAACCTCCCACAAAAAGGCCGTGCGCGACCGGCCTCAAGCAGTTGTCCCTTGGGCTCTGCGGTCACGCTCCCAGGTCGTTAAGACCAACACTAATCCGACTTCCTTTTCAGGTTCCTCAAGAAATACCCTTCCACGGTGTGGGCAACCGGGAAGTGAAATCAGCCCTCATACCCGTAACAGCACACGAGACCAAGTTGGTCACATTCAAATCCTTCCTACACCTCCTAATAACTCTCTTATCTCCACGACTAACCCTTCTCACGTCCCTTTATCACCTCGCTACGCTAGTGCGAACGATCCGAGTACGCGGAATGTTATTCCTGGTCTCCTGAAACCACGCTCCAAACTACACGTAGGAGCTCTCAACGTCCGAACACCTGTGCCAAATAGGACAACAGGCTTCCTTAGCTAAGACTTTAGAATCTCGCTCCATCGATGTGTGCTGCGTATTTGTCTACGTCTTGCTAGACGTAGGAAACATGCTGCAAGGAAACCCCTTAGGGTCCTACTTAATGATAGTCAAGTTAAGAGTATATTTCAGGAACATCTAGAAAAAGTTAGACAGCCATGTAAGTGATGCCCACCCCGAGACAGCGTGAAATGACATCCGAAAAGCTGTAGAAACAGCAGTGATGTCTGCAAGTACGGTAAACCATAAGGTTAGGGAGAAACACTGGATCTCAGCAGCATCTACCGCACTGATAGATGCTCGAAAACTCATTCCATCTGGCTCTGAACATAACGAAGAGCGGAGTCAGCTTAAGCGTAAGCTGACTAGAAAGCAAGAGAGATGGAAAAGGCAGCGACAATAGGTAACAGCAGGCAACTGTTCAGACTTGTTAAGGAAACCGGTATTAGGAACCCAACTGTTAGCGAAACAATCTCAGAGAAAGATGGACATATTATTCATTCTCAATCCAGGAGATTGGATCGATGGGCAGAATACTTTAGGGATCAGTTCAACTGGCCTTCAGCCACACTTCGGTTTCCCAAGATCTCCAGTCGACCTGAATGACAAGTTGATGTGAGTCCTCCGACTCTTTACGAAGTTGGAAAAGCTATAGGAAATCTGAAGCGTGGGAGAGCAGCAGGCTATGACAGGTTTACCCCTGAGATTTTTAAGGATGGCGGTCCAGTATTAGCAGTAAGATTGACTGAGGTCTTAGGTGGAATCTGGGAACTGGACGTAATCCCATCTGACTGGTCTCAATCACTGATTGTGCCAGTCTATAAGAAAGGACAAAAGTCCTCCTGTGACAATCACAGAGGAATTAGTTTGACTAATATAGTGTCTAAAATATTAGCTTCAATAATACTTCGACGTCTAACCAAAGCTCGTGAAGAGCAGACTAGAGAAAACCAGGCTGGTTTTCGACCTGGACGTGGTTGTATTGATCAAATATTCACATTACGTCAGGTCCTAGACACACATTCAGACGCCCCACAATCGTAGTATTTCTCGACCTTAAGGCGGCATTTGACTCTGTTGATCGTGTGGTTCTATGGCAGTGTTTGTCACTGAAGGGAGTACCAAAGAAGTACATCAACCTTATAAAGGCTCTCTACTCGAACACAACTGGTCGAGTGAGAGCTTATGGTGAACTGTCATCAGAATTGATTACCTCAAGTGGTGTTCGTCAGGGCTGTCAACCCTCTCCATTCTTGTTTAACTTTGTCGTTGAAGTCCTTTTAGAGATGACACTTTCCTCATCTAAATTTCCAGGAGTTGAACTTCTACCGGGAGATCCACTTGTTGACTTAGACTATGCCGATGACATAGTTCTATTTGGTGAAGACGCTGACAAAATGCAGAGTCTGCTGACCACTCTAAGCAACAATGCAAGCATGTTCGGCTTGCGATTTTCTCCCTCGAAATGCAAAATGTTGCTTCAGGATTGGGTTGTGTCGACACCCGAACTAGTGATAGGGAGTGAAGTAGTTGAGCGTGTCGACCGCTTCACTTATCTCGGAAGTCTCATCAGCCCTTGTGGTTTGGTGTGTGACGAAATCTCAGCACGGATACAGAAGGCTCGACTAGCTTTTGCCAACTTGCATCATTTGTGGCGTAGGCGAGATATCCGTCTATCAACCGAAGGACGTGTTTACTGCGCAGCAGTTTGTTCCGTCCTACTTTATGGCAGTGAAACATGGCCAGTAAGAGTAGAGGATATCCGTAGGTTACTAGTATTTGACCATAGGTGTCTTCGAAACATCGCTCGTATATCCTGGGACCACCGAGTAAGTAATGCAGTTGTTATGAAACGGGTACTAGGTAAGGATGGCAAATCAATTGAGGAAGTAGTGAAACTTAATCAGTTGAGATGGCTGGGACATGTGCTGCGCATGCCCGACCACCGACTGCCCCGACGTGCTATGTTTTATGGTGTAGGAGTAGGTTGGAAGAAAGCTAGGGGCGGCCAGACCAAAACATGGCACAAATCCATGAAGTCACTGACAAGTGGACTGAGTCGTGTTGGTAGGTGTAGACTACTTGGTTGGGGACCGCGAGATGATAGCAACCGATGGTTAGAGACCTTGAATGACATGGCTCAAAATCGTCTGCAATGGCGCAGGTGCATCCACTCTCTGTGTTCTCTCAAACTCTAATCTTCTGAATTCTTCATGTCCTTTATTTTCTTTCCCAATTTATTCCACTGGACTATACTCCTTTAATAACATCATCAAACCTTAATGTCCCCTATCTCTACTTATACTTTCACTACCTCTACCACTATGGGATTTGAATCGATAACTGAATCTCTGTGCTAATGAGGTATGGCAACTCGAACTGATGTACGTACGTACGAAGTTCCACGTTGTTACTGACTGAAACTTTGGATTCTTGCAAAGGGTCGCATTAATCGAGTTATAACCTGGTTGTGTCCAATACGAATACAGTCAGTGTACCTGACTTGACCTCAACAAGATTCACTATAATCGCCAGGACTTGCAGTAAATGAAAACTGAACGTGTTGCACATGGAAACTACCAGGAAAAATATTTGTTACTGTACTGAACGAAAAGTGTAACATTCAAGCCACAAGCTGAAATAGTGCTTTACGATCAACCTTTCCTTATCAAGTGCTAAACTTGAATGCTAATTTTTATTTTTAGTCTCTATGGAAAACCTTGAAAATTTCTTCAAAGAAATCCCATCGGACTACAATCGCCCCACGAATTTTCGTGAAGTGACTGCCAAAAGAATACAATCCCTGACATTTTATGCTGTAATTCAAACACCAAAAACTTAGCGAAACTTATGAATAAGCTCGAAAGGCTCATTAATTTTCATTAGGAAACCTAAAGCCGGACCAAGTATTTAAAAATAAAGTGCTGAGGCTTATGTTGTCTTCAAATCGAGACAAAATCTTTCGGTACTAAGTAGACTTCGAAAAGAAATGTACCTATTGCAGACAGGCGTCATTCTAGTACTTAGGGGACCAACCCCAAACAACCGAGCTTTATATTCGAACAGCCATTCGCCTATTCCAATATGGGAATGCAGATATTTATCTGCCAACACCACTAACTGCCAGAGAAAAGATCATTCGAAGTCGAGTAACTAAAATTTCTCGGGTGCAAGTCCTGTTTCGATGGATACAAGTGACTTGCATGATCAAACCTTAATTTAAGCCATGTAAAGCGACTGTTTAGGTGAAACAGAATAAGTATAAAAAGTGTTTGTCTGCTGTTGCTGTCCCCCTAGAAATCTCCCAATTTTGTGATTTCGCCAAAGTTTAGAAAATTTTCCTAGATCCGAGGAAATTTTGGGGCTTTTGACGTTTCCTCGAAATTTCCACAAAATGGGTCAAATTTTCCCCAAAATCGGGAACTCAGGAGGAGTCATTTCACTCGTTGAAATCCTAATGTTAACGCCATCATTATTTCGTAAGACCTGGATTGAACAGACATCATACCTAATGGCTGACCAATTAGTTAACAATAAAGTTGCATCGATAAAACGTGGAGTTTGGTAATTAATGGGAACTTATATAATGTTGACTCACCCCCGCACAACATACGATTTTGAGTACATAAAAAGGCCAGAGAGTGGCAACAAGATCACTATGAACTGATCGGCCGTAAAAAATGGATTGAAGTGAACAATTAGCCCATAAGATAACGTGTGGGAAACCAGTGCTTAAACAAACAAGAGAGGAGTCTTTTGGTTTGAAATTTCGCGACCGCCAATTTAAGGGATAACTCGCAACTTAAACCCAAGCATTTCAGCTAGCAGTATGGTGTTTAGTATATGAGTCCGTGTAGGGGAAAGTCGATCTTTGCCGGTTCTCAGTAATAATTTCGTTATATCCAGATTCCGACCTTCAGGTTCAAATTTGTGTATCGATGACAGTGGGCCTACGGCCTGTGCTATTCCTTTTCTATTAAGCTTCTGTGAATGATTCAAATGGTTGTGGACGGAATAGAAGAAGCGTTCGCTTAACGGGACTCTATGTCTAGTGGCAGCGGATCCCCAAGCAGGAACCTAGGTATATTAATGATAATAGAGGAAAAAGAAATTGGTAAATCATAGTAAGATATTATCCTTAGTCCTTAAGAATAGGTCACGTTGCCTCCTAAAGGACTCCTTGGAAGTCGCTTGGACCAGCTCAGCCGGCAGAGAATTCCAACACTCGGCAGCTCTTGAGGAGTAGAACTTGTGTCTACTGTCCGTTCTGCTATGTTGTATCCCGAATTTCTGGTTGTTACCCCCTAGGTTAGTATTGGGACTAAGCTTAAGTAGGTGTTTAAGAGGATGTCCAGAAGTGCTAAGAATACTGTAAGCCATTAGAAGGTCACCTCTAAGATGCCTATACTGTAATGGGTAAGGGTTATGTGATTGGAGGCGCCCTTTTGTAAGGCTTGAATTTGAGTTCTCGAACTGATTTCGTAGATCGCCGTTGGATACGCTCCAGGGAGTCCTTCTCCTTCTGGAGTGAGGGAGGAAATACTATGTTTCCGTATTCTAAATGAAGACGAATAAAACTGTTGAATATTATGTAGAAAGTTCTTCCGTCAAACTGGCCAAAAATGCGCTTCAATGTTACCAGTGCAAGGTTTGCTCGAAAGGCATTTTTGTCACAGTTAGCATAAAACTTGAAATCGTAGGGTTCCAGGATTCTTAAATTTTTTTCGACTCGGGATACTTCTAGAGAGGAGTTTCCTAAATTGTAACTGTAAACTGCAATATGTCGCAGATGGACTACTTTACATGATGAAGTGTTAAAGGCAAGTTCGTTGTCGTCTGCCCAACTTTGAAGTCAAGTCAGGTCGTTGAAACAAAACGACGGGGAGCTTTGAAAAAGTCTGACGTTTTTCCGTGCCCTTCTTGCCACAGAATTCTTTGTTCATGACTAAGATCGTACGGTTTTGCTTGTAAAAGAGCTTCTCTGTAAGAAGTGGAACCAATCAGGGTCACAAACATGAGTCAGAGTGGTATTTGGCACGCGAAACTATCATCATTGCCATTGGTTCGTGACACCCCACTTGACCATATGGAGCCTCAATTAAACGAAATGTTCTGCCTACAGATATGGGTGGATTGAGGACATTTCCCCATCATTATGCTTGTTGGTCAGTAACGCCACAATTCTTCCTTTTTGATGTCGGGCTCTTTCGGTAGTGGTGCGTATGTATATTGTTCAATTGTGACCTTTATAATTCACACCTTACAGAAATATACTGAAACTTCTAGTGCCATGTTACAAGCAAATCAGTCAGTTAAGGTTTTTTATGGTGGGTTAATCACTGCTATGAAGATAACTAATGGTATACATTTTCAGGTACTGGTCAGGGATGATAGTGACATTTAGCTGACTAAAGAATAATAAAGAGGGGTTTAAGGCTGAAAACATTATGAGTAAAGCGGTAGGTAAGTAGGAAAAAACAATGTTTAAATGATAATGATAAAAATTTCATGCTGGTAGAATATAAACCAGGTGGAACTGACGATAATTCAGGACATTTTCCGAGCTTTTTATGATCTGACAGTTTCTGATATTACACCCATGGAGTCTCCAACTGCATTAAGTTTTTTAGGGTTGTGATCCAAGGTTTTTCTAAGTCCTAGTGTGTGCAACAACATCAATGGTTGTGGGAATTAAAAGAAACTTCAGGAAACACAGTTATGGATTAGCTCATGAAACAGTGGTTGCACACTACTTCTCTTATTTATTTTTCCGACACATTTCTTCAGCAACGTTGTAGCGGTAAATATATCGCCAAAATCAATAGCTCTGTAAGTCATTGACATTGGATGCTGACCACATTAGTTTTAATGGACTTGTAGAATTATGGTCTACTATGATATTTGTACTGCTGTAATAATAGACCTAATCCTAAACTTGTAGATTTGTTATGATGCAACTGCCTAATCAATAAGATCTTACTTGGAAGTCACATCATTTACATCAACTCACTGTATCCTAATAATTACCAATGCATGATAGAGAACAGTCTTAGGCTGGAGATAGAGCAATATATTTAATATGAATAAAAGATATAAGGTAACATTTAGTAGGAACCACACCCGCGAGGCCGAGCCATGCCATACGATCAACTCCAACTTATTCAATTCATTGTTCCCGCCTTCTCCATCCTTGGGCATTTCTCCGCTTTAAACGTTTAATATGTATTTTCCTAATTGACTCGTGTTCAGCTTTAAGAATTGTGAAGTTAGGATCCAATGTCAATAAACTACTCTCCCAAAAGAGACAACGTGATATTGGTTCGATTTCAAATTGCATTGGACAATATGTATGGGTCATATATGCATAGTAAACATAAAACGAGTTTCAGAAGTTAAATTAAATGTAACACAAGGTATTGTCTTCATTACAAACTTCGTAAACTTGAGGATAATATTTATTTAAAAGGAAAAATTAGAGAGAACAGAAGTGAGCACCTAGTGAAAGGGTTCAACCATAATAATAATAGTAATTGTGTAATGAATATCGACTTCTGAAGTAAACTAACAATTTAGAGAAATAAAAATCCTTTAGTGCACTTGGATAAATACATGTAGATTTATATAATAGTATACAAAGTAAAACTTGATATCAGTATAAACTTTTGTGTAATAATAATTAAGAATAATGCTATGAAAGTCACAGTTAATTCCAAAGGATAATCAAGTTCTATGTTATATATATCGTGAAGATAAAATGAATCTGAGAAGTTAATTTATTCAAGTGTAACATAAGGTAATTTGTTATTTGTTATAGACTTTGGATGCTCAGGAATAAAATATGTTTAGAAGGAATAGAAGAAATGAAAAGAATATCTTATCTGTCGAGGGACCAATAATGATATTAATAACAGTAATAATTATAAATATGGACATAAGCAGACTTGATATATTGAGATGAATAAAAATAAAATAAAATAGACGTTGAAAGTTTCGAAGGTTACACTTTGCTTTTCAGTCAATTAGATACATGGCGGACCTTAGTTGTATAAACCATTATTAAACACATTTATATTTAATAGGTGACACAATCCAATTTCGGAAGGAAAATCATCAAGGAGACTTCTGAACCGGGTTGTAGTTTCACCGCAACGGAGGTTCACTAGCAATCTGTTCCACATGGTTGAATAGCGAATAATGAAAAAATTCTGGCGTAAGTTTGTGTAGGTTCTTGGAATCGCTAGGATATCCTCCTTATTGCATAGATTGTGGGAAGATATCATAGAGTAAGAAGGGATAGATACCGAAGAGTAGGAAATACTGTTAATAAGCCGGTAGATAAAGACAAGTTTTAATTTGATATGCCTGATCCAGAGAGGTTCTAATTTGAGTTGTTGACATCTTTGTTGATAATCCTTGTTGTCGGAATGCCCAAAAACAGCATTGGTGAACCTTCTTTGAACACCTTCAATTTTAATCAGGTCATTATGCCTGCAATTACTGTAAACCAAAATACTATATTCAAGAATAGGTACGATACATTTTCTGTATAATAATCATCTCGATTCGATATTATTGAAGTTTATCATTATGAATCCAATGAGCTTTCTGGCTTTGGATACTTGAGATGCATTGTGCTCGGAAAAGTTCAAACTGTTGCCATATCTCAAACCCAAGTTACAGTGTTGAGAGGTTTCAGTTCATGTTTGTGCATAGCCAGGTTTAGGTTAAGGCAGCGGCCAATGTGAATAAATCTACTTTTGTCAACATAATGTGGCAAATTACATGAAACAGTCCATTCGCATAACTTGTTTATTTCATCTTGGATTCCCTCTGAAATATCGCTTTCTTTGATGGATGAGGAAAATGGATAAACTACTTTTAGGTCATCGGCAAAAACGGGAGGTTCACCATACTGAAAGAGAGAACAAACTTCATTGATAAAACGGGGAAAGAGTAATGAACCAATAACACTTGCTTGTATAACCCCACTGGTTACATTCACAGGTTTAGAGTAACAAGATCTAAAGCGAACGATTTGATTACGTTCTTCTAAAAAAGATTTGAGCCAAGATAACAGGGGATTTCGTATGCCAAATGAAATGAGTTTTAGAAGAAGTTCACGTGAGACACTATCAAAATTCTTACTAAACTTGAAGTAAAGAATTATCACTGACTGATCAGCATCTCTCCTCTGGGTAATTTGATCACAAAATTCCAGGTGCGATGTGAAGCATGAGCGTTTAGTCATAAACCCGTGTTTGGATTTGGTTAATCAGACTAGCCGAAAGTAAAAATGATAATAGCTGTTTGTAAATGATTTTTTCCATGGTTTTTGAGGGCACGGATGTTGAATAAATTAGCCTATAGTTAACAATATCACTACGTGGTCCTATTTTGAATCTAGGGGTGATAAGAGATGTTTTCTGTACAGATGGATATGTCCCATATTCCATAGACAGGTTGGAAAGGTTCAAACAAAATAGTGGGGATTCTCTACTACCGTATTGTCACAGTTAGCATAAAACTTGAAATCGTAGGGTTCCAGGATTCTTAAATTTTTTTCGACTCGGGATACTTCTAGAGAGGAGTTTCCTAAATTGTAACTGTAAACTGCAATATGTCGCAGATGGACTACTTTACATGATGAAGTGTTAAAGGCAAGTTCGTTGTCGTCTGCCCAACTTTGAAGTCAAGTCAGGTCGTTGAAACAAAACGACGGGGAGCTTTGAAAAAGTCTGACGTTTTTCCGTGCCCTTCTTGCCACAGAATTCTTTGTTCATGACTAAGATCGTACGGTTT